TCCTCGGCAACTGCTGTTCACTTCAACCTACCATTTGCTGCATTCGCCGCCCCTCTTCGGGCGAACCGTGGCGTCCAGGCCTTCTCGAAACCTGCATCAAGGCTCTGTCGGCCCATGTCGTCTCGTAATTTGGAATAGCTCATGGCCTCGTCGACGGCCAACGCACCGCCGCTGAGCTTTCGAAAAACCGGAACCTTGAGCATTGACTGCTTCCACCGCAAAGCCGTAGACTGGACTGGACCCCTGACCTCTGCTCTTAGGACCTGGGTTGCATCTGTCAGGCTTGCTGCGTCGAAAGCCTGGTCATGGAGCGCTAGAGCGATGATGGTGCTGACGGCACAGAAGATGAACCTTCTTGCAGGCGTAAAGAAAAAGACAGTCCTGCTCATAGTCAGCATAAAAAAGCACCAAAAGGGGTTAGAGCCGCGGCGCTACGCATACTCACGGCCTTGGCTTATTGTCAGCCCCTTTGTGGTGGATGAACTTGACGGCCATCGCCGGTACGGCTCGTCCCGTCACTGGATGGCGAACAATCATCATGAGTATGTCCTCATAGCACAAGGCTTTCGGACGCCCCCGCCCAACTGTTTCTTGTATCAACAGTCGGTCGAGGAGAAGGGAGTCTTTGTCTTGTGGTGGTTGGTCATCATAGTCCACGTTCTCTGCGTCTTTGCCACACTCATGATCAAGGGACTTGACGCCTTGGAGCTTGAAAATCTCGTCCGTGCATCCGTCTTTGGGTTTTTTCCTTTCGGCATGCACAACCTCGGCAGGTCGCGCGCCAGTGTAGCAGAGGAGCTGGTAGCAACCAGCCAGCTGAGTGCGCTGCCGTTCTGACGGGAAGATACCCGTATCATACGCAATGTTGAATGTCAAGATGGCCAGCAGGTTATCGGCTCCGAGGACTGGCTTCCCGTTGATGTTAGGTGCCCGGTATCCGAAGCGGGGAATCAGGATCGTGTGGTGGAACTAGCCCAGCCCAAGTCAGCATCATTGTGGAACTGTCGACTGCCGCAATTGGTAGATACCTTGTAGAGCTCTTTCGCATCATTCCTGTCCATGTAGCGACCGGCGACGGTGGTGTATAGCTGCTGAAACTGCCGGATATATACCTGCGTCGTACCCCATGATTTGATTTTCCCTATCGACCACTCGCTGATCCGGAGAAAGAAGCTCATCATTGTCTCGCGAGTTACGTTTTCCAAGGCCGCTTGCCATTCACCGAGCTTCTGCTCTTGACAGTAACTGTTGTAATAGAGTTCAGTCAATGAGAAAACAAGCCTGGGATTCTCGCAGCGAACCGTTTCCATTTCCTGCATACGACCGCAATATTGATCTCGGTTTCGTCTGCATATCTCGGCTTGATGAAGTTGACGCTCTTAAGCTGCTTGCGTAGGTTGGCATGCTCCTCAGCCGAGAACGGCTTCGGCTGGTTCGCGATCCGCCGTTGTGTTTCTTGGTCGGTAAACCGCTTCAAAAAGTCTACGGTTGCTTTTGTTTGTTGAGGGCGACAATCGGGGAGCATTGGCCGGGCCATGGCTGGGAGATGGTCGCTCGTCGCAGCGGCAGAAGAGAGGTCGTGAGAGTGTGCTGAGGCGAAAGAAGACGACAGAAGACGGCAGGCACGATGCCGCTCTTTATGTCGGGCGGCGCCATTTCGTCAAGCAGAACCTCAGCAGCCTGAGCAGCCAGAAACCGCTCCAACGGATGCCAGAAAGCGAGGGAGTTGGCAACAGCAAACCGGTGCTGGCATGACCAACGGGCAGGGTAGAAGGACATGGTAGGCGCTTGGACCAAAATAGCAGTGTGGGGCGCACTGCCATGACCAGGTTGCAGGCGTTGGAGGCAGCAGGACGAAGTATTTAATACCTGGCAGTGTCCGCCCATCGCTCAGTTCCCTCTCGCTGCTTGTGCCGCGTAAAACGGCGGCACTTCCCACCGGATTGGGCGGCCCTAGCAGCGACTTCTCGCTTTTAGGTGTAAAATAAATAAGGCTTTAATAATTAATTATAATTCTATTAAATAAGTTTTTAATAAAAATAATAAAAAGCGATCGTTAGATCTAATATAAAAATTAATTATTAAAAAAACTATAAAAGTCTATCTTTAAGCCTAGCTCGGGCTATTTTATATATAAATCTTAATCGTAAATATATCCTTTATAATATTTTATTTATTATTATCTAATTATTTATTAAGCAGTCGTTCGTCCTATATTTTTATAATCGCTTATTTTATTTATTTATAAGCGTTTATTTTTTATTTTATTATATAATCGTAGTTATATAATTTATTTATAATTCTTTTATTTTAAAAGAGGCCGTTTAAGTTCTTATTATTATATATATAATATAGTAGCCGCCGTAGGTCCTGTAGGGCAGGGCCCTAGTTTAGCAATACGTATTAAGTCGTAACAATAAAATAAAATTAAAAATATACTTTTAAATATCGATATTAAAAATACTTCTATAACTTCTTATATTATATTTAAAATATTATTTTAAAAACGAAGATAAGGGTTTATATTATATATAACCTCGCAAATAAGCCGTTAAAAAAGTAACTTCCTTAATAATAAATTAATATTTTTTTATTAAATTTTAATCTCTTTTAAAGCTACGGCTATATATATATTAAAATTAAATTCTTATTAAAATATAAATAATTTATTTATTTCTTAGTCTATATCTTCTTTTTCTTTTTAATTTATTAACTATTATAATTTTCTTAAATATAGTTTTCTTTTTAAAAAGAGTAGCTTTTTTTAATAAAAAAGATTTTATAAATATTTTCTAAATAATATACTGTAATTTATTTTATAACTCTTTTCCTTTCCTAATCCGAATAATAGTTTTTATTATTTTAACTTCTAGCCTAAGTTAATATATTTTAATAATACGCTTTTTTATTAAGTAAAAGTCTATATCTTTTAGCTTATATTAGCTAATATTAAAATCATTCGATTAATAAGAGCTTAAATTAAGCGATATTAATCGCTTTATACCCCGATTTAGTATTTTTAATACTTTAATAAGAGGCGAATTCTATTTGTTTTATTATAATAAAAGTAGTAAATACCCTAAGGATATAATAAATTCTTTTTAAAATAAAGATAATAGCTTTCGAAATAGCGTTAATAGTTTTCGTAGCTAAGAAATAATATTTAATTTAAATAGAAGTTATGGATTAATATTATTTAAAATAATATTTAGTTAATTAATTTAAAATAAATATTCTCTATTTATTTATAATGACTTTAATATAAGAGGTTCTATTCCCGCTTATAGTAGGGATTTTAACCCCTTTAGCCTATTAATTATTATTAATATTTTTATATAGTTTAAAAGGAAAAGGATATTCTATACGTAAGGAAGAAAAAATAAGCTTAAAATCCCTAGTATATTAAAATAAAGTGATTAAATAAGGACGATTACCGAAGGTCTTAATACCTTACTTTATTAAATTTTAATAATTATTTATTATAATTATACCTAATTTATATTTATATTTTTTAAATCCTTTTATATAAAATAACTTTTATTATTTATAGCAGCCTTATAGAATAATTTTTAAGATCCCCCGACCGAACTTTTAAATTTAAGTTATATTTCCCTTCTTAAAAATTTAAAATATTAATATAGTATTATATATTTTAAACTAAACTCCTTATTTAAGGGCTAATAAGCCTAAATAAGTTATTACTAAACATATATTTATAATAATATTTATAGCCCTTAAAGAAAAAAAGACTATAATATAAAAGTATTATTTATTTAGAAAATATAATAATTTAAATCTCGACGTTCTTTTATTTAAATTAAATTTTAATAAAAAGCCCGTCGAGATAATAAAAATCCTATTATTATTTATACGTTTTATTATTATTACCTTATTTATCTAAGGCCCGGAACCTAAAAAACGTTATTTATAAAAGATTATTATTTTAAAAAGTCTTATTTTAAAAAAGTAGTTATATATACTAATAATAATCGATAATATATTTACTTTAGCTCGCAATCCGAGCATTTTTAAAATATATATAATTACTCTATATAATAATATTATATAATAATCTAATATAATGACCCTGTATAATAATCTTATATAATAATTTTATATAATTACTCTATATAATAATATTATATAATAATCTAATATAATAACCCTGTATAATAATCTTATATAATAATTTTATATAATAACCTTATATAATAATTAAATTTATTAAATTTTTTTTTAATTTTAATTAGATTATATTTAAACGCTTAATAAAAAAAAGAATATAAATAACGCTATTATATTTTATTATAAAAACTAATCTCTTTTTTAATATAATAAAAAAAAGCTTTTTTTAAACGTTTTATAAGCGGTTAAACCTTTTTTTTATTCTCTCGTCCCCACTTATTATATTTAATTAAATTTAAAAAAAAAGCTATTCGGATTTATATAACTATACTTATTATAATATTAAAAAACTTAAAAGTTTTTTTTATAATTAATATTTAAACTATACTAAGCTCGAAATATTTTTTATTAAGTATTATATATTATTTTATTAATTTAAATTAAAATCGACGAATTATCTTTTTAAAAACCCTAAACGTCCTTAAATAATATATATAAAACTAAATATTTAACGAAATTATTTCGATATTTTAAAACCTTAACTTCTTAAATCTACTCCGATTTAAAATAATTATTATAAATAACGTATTTAACTTTAAATTAAAAAACTTTATAAAATATTATATTAAAAAGTTTTATATCCCTTTTTTAAAAATAAAATATATCCGCTATTTAATTTATATTTTTAATTTCGTTATAAAAGCACTTTATATATAATTAAAAATTAAGCCTACGGCTAAGATATATTAAATTAATTAATAAAATAAAAAATTAATAAATTTTTTAAATAAAAACTTTTAAAATCTCGATACGTCCGATTTTAAAAAAGAAAATAATAATCTTAATACTTTTTTAAATCCTATTAAAATATTTAAAAAAGAGTTAATAACCTTTTAATATTCTATAATTGAAATAACTATTTTAAAAGTATTTTATTTTCTAAAATATATTTTTATAAATTTATTATTAATATAAAATTAAATTCGATATTTTATATTTAAAATAAAATATAATTTAAAATATACTTCCGACTTTTTTTAATTATAAAAAAATACCAAGTTAAAAAAAGCCTTTTATTAATTAAATTTTAATATTTATATATATTAAAACTCGATTATATTAATATATATATATATATATATAAACTCCGTAAATACGTTAATTTATATCTCGTTATTTATTTAATAAATAATATATATTTAAAAATATTTAATATTAAATAGGAATAATTAATAATTATTTTAAACGTTTTTAAGATCTTTTTATTTTTTATTAATATCCTAAGCCGAGATATATTCATTAATATCTCTTTTATTATAAATCTTTTAAAATTAGTACGGTAATACCTTATACGATATATAAATATTCTTATAAAAAAAAAATTCTAAAAACTCGTCTTAACTAGATCTATTAAATAAAGTTATTATATAAGCTTTTTAAAAACTTTAAAAATATAAAGATTTTTAAAATATTAATCATAAGATTTATATTATAGCCCTCTTTTTTACCTCTTTAAATAAAGGAGTTAATAAATCCGATAATCCTCGTTTTATAAAGCTTAATAATTACGGTAATATTATATTTAAAAATATATATAATACGTTTAAAAGACTATATGTTAATAATTATTACCTTATTATTAAATAAAACGATATAATACGATTTTAAATTAGCCGTTTAATTTATAGTATTATAACTTAAGTATTTATAAACCTTAAAAAACCGGTACGTATTTTTTCTCTTAATTAATTTACGTAATAATCGATATAATAATCGATATAATAATCGATATAATAATCGATATAATAATCGATATAATAATCGATATAATAATCGATATAATAATCGATATAATAATCGATATAATAATCGATATAATAATTTAATTATAATATTAATATCCTTTTTAGACCTTTAGTATTAACTAATCTATAAATCGTATTATTAATAGCTTTATAAAAAAGCGTAAGCTTATAATTTTAATTATCGATATATCTATTTCTAATTTATAATTCGTATTAAAAAAACTTTATATAGAAATTATATTTAGGTTTTAGCGGCGATTATAACGTCGTTTATTATATAAAAGCTTTTATAATATAGTATGGGATTATTTTTATATTATATTTATTTTTATTTTTTTAGAACGAATTTTTAGTTATAGCCGATATATTTACTATTACTCTCGTTATAATATAATTATATAAACAATTAAAGCTTAATTTATTTTTATTATTAAATAATATTAATGGGATTAGTTAATATTTAATATATTAAAACCTATAATACTTAAAAAATATTAACTATTAAAAGTTATTTAAAAACGAAGCAAGACTATTTTTTATAATTTAAATTACTTAACGTTTATTATTATAAAAAAAGTTAAAATAGTTAAAATAATAATAAAAATAGAGTTAAAATATATAATTACGGTTTTAAAATTTAATAAAATACCTAGTAATTCTTAATAATCTAAATATTTATTAATATTAATATTTAAAATATTTCGTTATACGTTATTACTTTTATTTAGTTTTTTATTAATTATTAATATTTAAAATTAAATACAATTATAATATTTATTTAAACCTTTTTTAAATACGTTTAATAAAAAAAAGAATAATTTAAAATTATTTATAAAACGGTTACGGAACCGGTATTAAATTTAAATTTAATTTATAAATATAATTTTAAAATAGTTTTATTAATTTTAAAAATTAAAATTATAATTTTAATTTTTTATTTTAAATTTTAAAAAGTTTATTTATACTTAAATACTTATATTTAAAATCTTTAGTTCTCTATTTAAGTATACCTTAAATCCCTATCCCTAAAACTCAGTTAAGTCCCTATACCCTATACGATACCCACGACCTATATAGGGACCTATTGATCCCCATAGGTAAAATGGGTGCATACCTAAATGGGTACCCATGGGGATTTTTAAGCCTAAACCCATTTCCCCGAGGAGGCAGCTGATGAGACACTACGAGAGAAATATCCTACCTGCCGGCGCCCGGAGCTCGAGTAGACGTGGAAAAGGGCTTTGGTGAAGCCTGCCTGGGAGCGTGCGCCGCTGCCTGCTTTCCCATAGGGGTTCACGCCGTCGAGGTTGCCCAGTTGGCGGGTTAGGGCGATGTGAGCTTCGTTGGCCAGGCAGCTTTTGCGGAATACGACTACCCAGACCTATTATGAAATTTGGTAGGAGAGGCACCTAAAGTTCAGGAAGGGCTTCCCAAGCTCACTTTGTTGACGAGATCTTCTATCGATTGAGCGGGGCGCCTTATTCGACTGAGACAGAATGAAGTGGGAAATAGTGTACTTCGATACCGAAGCCGGTGCCGAGCTCCGTGGTACAAAGACCGGTGGTCGTCATTGTATTCGTCGTTCTGATGGTAAGTGTTTGAGATTCTTCAGGGTGCGATGTCAGATGATGGTTGAAACCAGCCAAGTTGAGGGCACACGTGGGGGTACTTGTATAGAAATTCTCATCATGTGACATTCTTGGGAACGTCAAGGTGTTAGTCGAATGCCATCACTCTCTGGTCAATCTCTCGGCAAGGAGGCGGCAACAACTCCTATTTGGAGAAATAGAATTCATTACACCTACCACGAGCCTTTCGAATGGCACGGTCCGAGTACCCCACGAGGAAGTGTCAAGGAATGGTCATGCTCTATGACAATTATGGGATGGGATCTTGATAGAATAAGATCACCTTGTCTTAGTGAAGCCAGGCAAAGTCTGACACGCACCATTGGTAATATTGGAGAGTGTGCTTCTATTACTAGCGCCTAATTACGATTTTAAACAATAAGACAACTCTAAAGTTGCCAGGGTATAGCATTATGACTCCTCTTCAATGACGTCGTGTCCTCTCCCATGAAACCCAAGTTGGTGTGCAAAACATCTGAGGCAGTGTTCAACCGCAGCAAACGGTGGCCTCGCGGGCAGCAGAGGTGGGCTCATCGTAGAGGGTCTCCCACTGGAATAGGAAGGCGCCAATGTAGGAGCCGATGAAGATGCAGATGATGAGGTAGCCGTTGTAGTACATGGCAAGCCTGAAGAAGTTATTAGCGCAATTCTCTCGGACGGTAGCAAAGTAGACTTGCAGCATGACGAAGTAGGCGACGGCGAACTGGCACATGTGGATGAGGGCTCGGACGGCCTGCTGCAGGACGTTGGGGCGGAAGGGCGGGACGACGTGGGCGGCGATGGCGGCGGCGGAGCCGGAGGGGCCTTTGGCGTGGTCGTCGGCGCTAGCGGAGCTTGGGGAGGCGGCACCGGCGCTGGCGTAGCGCTGTCTGTGGGCCTTGATGAGGTATCTGTCGTACTCCTTGACGGCGCGGCGGAGGGCCTCGAGGACCATGACCAGGAGGATGACGCCGATGCAAGAGCCCGCGAACATGCCGTTGGAGGTGATCTTCCCTGTTGTGGTGTTAGTGTTTGAGTATTGTGAGGACAGGCCGGGGGGTCTCAGTTCGTACATTGGCTGCTGATGAAGCAGCTGTCCTTGACGTTCCAGTTCCACAACATCTGAGAAGTTGGTTAGTTGATGCCGTTTTCACGCGAGTCAAGGTGGTGATGGCCGGCACGCACAGAGATTTTGCAGCCGGTACTGCTTCCCATGCCAGACATGGCGGCCTTGGTGCTCGTGGTAGCGGCCATGCTCATGGTGCCAGTAGCAGCCATGGCGGCGGTTGTGGTGGCCATTGACATGCCGTCCATTTTGTTGATTTATTCGTAGATGCTGCTGAAGACGATCCGTGGTATAGTAAGGTGGTAGTAGTGGTAGTAGTAGTAGCACCTAATACGAATGTCGTGATACTCACGAACAATGGTCGGTCGAGAGTAGCAGGGGCGGCCCGGAAGCTGTCGTGATAAAGCGAAGCTAGAGAAGAAAGGACGGAATAGAGTTTGAGCAATGGGGATATTTCTAGATATAATTATATACGGCCCCGGCCAGCAGGGTATTGAAAAGATCTTCTCATGTCTTTGCCGCCAAGGGAAGAACGACCTTTGCCAAGAGCCCCACTTTGAGCTAGATTTCCATGGGATGGAGAGGGAGATACAAGGATACAAGGACTGGGTTTGCGCTAGATTCCTTCCCGCGAGACAAACAAGGGTCCAAAATCAGATTCGGTGGGAGATGGGCAGAGGAAACACCACGGAAATCCAGAGTTGAGAATATGAGTCGTGAAGATGACAAGATGGTTGGTTGGTGGTCCGGGGTGGAGCGTGGCGGGTGGAGGGCACCGGTGTAAATGCAGCAACGAGGATGTGTCGATGATTTATCTGATGATGAGGTTCCACTCGACGAGGTCCTTTACTTCAACTCTAAGGCACGTACCAGGCGATGGACTTGGCATTGGATCTTTGCGGGGACATACGACTAAGGTACCAAAGAAAGAAAGACATTTGTTCTTCACGCTGGTAGCAATTATCGCAAGTACGGTGGGACCTGTGTTACATTAGGTAAGGTACGTATAGGAGGACATGGAAGTTGGAAGGAAGAAACCAACGACGGGAGGTGGCCGTTGGAGTGACCTGCCTTATCGTATGTTCAGGAAGGAGCATGTATGAAAGTCGCACGGGGAAAATGGGGGTAAAACTGCCTCTTTTCCTGCCTCTCCTGCTGCCAAGACAACGCTATCGCTTCCTGCCTCACGCATCCTCACGCGTCCTGAGAGTGTTTGAGCAAGTTTACGCCCAATTGCAGTTTACACAACCTGGTAGGACCCCGCTGTCTGATTCCTGCACGACACCTGCCCGAAGGCAATGCTCGATTCTCGATGTTCCGTCCCGTCTGTGTGGCTTCATTCTCACACTTACTCCCCGATTTCCTCTCACTTATCAAGCCATGTCTCACTCCCGCAGGCTTGACTCACCAGTTTTGGCCTCTTCGTACCTCCAGCAAAGTTGCAACAGGCAGGTCACATTCGGCTCACATTCGGCCACTGCATGGCAGATGCACCCCGAGGCTCAAAACACCACGCGAACCCACTCGGAGTCAGACAGAGGCACAGAGGCTAGAGCAACAAACCGATTCCAGAGATTTTCAGAGAGACCGTTGCAATAATGCTGCGGGTGAGCTGCGACTCATGGCTCTAGTCCTGTCCTCCGTCGGGCTGTTCATCACGAACGAGAAGGTCGCCATGCACGTCGCATATCCCGACGTCGGCTCGCGGGGTCTTTCCCCAGCTTCACACAGGAATGACGGTAACGCCTCTCGCCAGACTGTTAGCATGCCCGCTACCCGCCGTGTTTCGCAAGTACGACCGTCAGCTCTTCGAACCTGAGCGAGGCCAGTCACCGTTCTGCCAAATCCTGATTCTTTGCATTGCAGAATCAGACAGAATCAGACTGTCCTTTGGAACAGGTCGCCAAGATTCACTGGAAAGCCGCAAGTTTGCGACAGTTGCTCCCAGAACCTCTCGGCTGATGTGATGCGATGCGGTGGAATTGGCCAAGGAAAACGGTTGACGCCTCCGACCTGCCGTGCGCTATTTTGAGAACATTCGCGAAAGAATTTCGATTCCAGAGTCCCGATTCCAGACGACGATGCATTGCCTCAAGCGTTGCTCCGTCACCTGGGCTGGCTGGTGGCCAAGGTAAGAAAGCTGTGGCCTGCGGGAAACCCAGCCAATCCAACCAGGGTTCAACAGCGGTTGCAAAGAGCCAAAAAAGAGCCCCAAAACGACTTTGTCGCCTATTGGGCCAGAGGACGAGGGATCCGCCACTCCGGCGTGGTGCGCCTGCTTCTGCAATATCGGGCTGCCGTTGGGGTTGCGTCGCATTGCAGCTCGCCTCGCCTCTCTAAATTGCTCGCTACAGCCCGCTGGCTGCTTTGCTAGCCGCTTGATCACCGACCACATCGTGTTCGTTTCTTGGCCTGCTGCTTTCACTGCATGTCTCTGTCTGGATTTCCATGAAAAGAATATCGGTGAAGAGATCAGAGCTAGGACCGCAGAGCCGAGGCCGGGGAGATGAAGCCAACAAGGAAGCCTACTGCAACAGCAGCTTTAGCGTCAAGCTGGCAATCTCGCGCTACTTTAGCTTCTCTCTTCTACGACTTACAAGTATCTCTCCAGACTGCGGCTGCCATGCGTCGATTCCCGCCGTCGATCTAACGGCTTGCTGCCGACGCGTGACGTTGTCGCTCAACGCGTCCCTGTTCAACTTTATCCGCGGCACACTTGGACCTGGGCCCTGGCATCAATGTGGGCAAGGGATTTCAGCGGGGATATAATAGTAATTAAACCATCAGAGCTGGCCCTTTTCTGCCCGCCATCAGCTTTCTCTTACAAGTGCAGATACATGGGCCCAAAACTTTATCCAAACGCCAAACCGTTATCCCAAAAAAAGAACCCCGCGAAAACCGGCGGTCATCCGAGAGAATTTCAATCACAACTCAGCCTTGGCTTTGTCCTCCGTCTTGGATTCCAACGCATACAGTTCCCTCGGCTGTCCAGCCGCGTCGCAGCTGGCAAACTTCCACCATCCCCAGTGCCAAGCACCCGCGATATTGATCAATCCCCACTTGATCGGTGCCGGCATGGGCGGCCAATTCGCCCACAACCCGTCCTCCGTCGTCCTGTCCAGATTCAGCAGGAAAAACGGCACAACATCGGCCGTCCCTGCCTTGGTGACGGTGCTCTTGCCCCACGTCTTGAACGTCAGACTCGCGTTGGCCGCCTCCGGTGTCCCCGCCTTGGGCGCGTTCGGGTGCTCGGCCATGCCGGCGATGGTGCTGATCTCGCTGTGGAAGTGGTTCTCGAATGGCTCTTGGAAGCTCGTCATGATCTCGAGCAGCTTGGCGCTGGAGAAGTCGGATGGCGAGGACAAAGAGGTGAGGTACTTGTTGAACTCGGCGAGGCCGCCCAAGAAAGATTCTGGCCGTCTCTTGTCAGTTGACCGTCTCTGCTAGGCGTGGCAGATGCCGGGTACGTACCATGCTCCTTGTGCGTCTCAGCAAAGACATTCTTGTCGTCCAGGAGATCCTCGACCTTGGTGAAGAGCGACTCTTCCTCGTCATCGTGGTGCGACTTGACAAACTTGTACCAGGTCTGGGAGTATCCGATAAAGTCCGCCTTGTCCGCCTCCTGGATGTAGGGTGCCTGTTGGTAAATGGAGTTGTACCCTCGCAGGATCGAGTTGTGCAGCAGGGCCATGTGCGTTGAGCCCAGCGTGAAGAGATCGGTCTGTTGGAGGCTGTCAGTTCAAGCTTCTTGGTGTTGGGCCCGTTTCCCATTAATTGGGGCAGGCTCGTCATCCGGATCCGAGCTACGAACCTTCTTGGTCGCGTACTGCGGCGTGGTGATGAGCTTCATGGGCCCGTCGGCCCATGGCTTGGTTGTTTGTGGTGTCGTGGTCATCATGAATGGCGCTCTGGAAGCTAGCAAGCTGATGAGAATGCTTGGGATCACAAGCAGGAGATATCCGGCCATGTTGAGAAGAGGTCGGCGGGGGCCTGGCGAGAGCGAATGGCGCAGCTGATATAAGGTGCAGGGTGGAAAGTGGTACGATTCGCCGTGGTGCCTTGCCGCCCGTTGAGGGAATCGAGGGTCGGGGTTGCGTGACCGAGACAACAGCGGCAGCGCAACGCAGCTTTGTATTGGGTGTTTCTCCTCGGGGGCAAGGAAAGGCAAGCTTGTCCAATGTTCCGAACTTGTCTGGAGCTTCCGCGTCCTCGGCGTGGGGTGAAGGAAGAAAGAGAGGTTGGCTGATTAAAAGCCACCTCGCCATTGGCCCGTGCTGGGGGATCGCTGGGGTGATGTGCAGGGAGCGCTGGCGCGGTTTCACCTGGGGAGCTCCCGCTAATGCCGTTGTGGGATCATGGCGGTGGCTGCCGACGGGATGGGGGGGCCGATGGGTGCGGTTCCTGGATTGGGTAATCGGGCCCCCTTGGGGGACGGGGGAATGGGACCTTGAGCCGGGACTTCGGACGTTGGTGGCCTGCCGATGTCCGAAGATGTTCGGTAAGCAGAGCGGAGTGTGGAGAGCATGGATGGCGGAATTGAGTAGCTCTGCTGGGCTGATGTTGTCTCTATGAAAGGTAGTGATGAAAGCTGGCGTGCTTTGTTCATGTTTCGGACTGCTCCAAGTCGTTAGAGTGCCGTTGGGGCGTTGTTCTGACCCGAAATAACGGTATCATCTTGAGGCTCCAGAGAGAGGTGAGTGTAGTAGATGACCACGATGCAGATAGGAACTTCCCCAATGAGCATCGCAATCTTGATGCAGTGAGTTGTACAGTGAGTGGGAAACCTTCAACTATACAGCCAAATTTGTAAACGCTCACAGCAGCGCTCCCAAGGCGGAAGGAAAAACATCTACAAGGGCAGGCGGGCTTGTCAAGCATGATCCGTCGAGTAGACCAACATCGGAGGGAGGGTGCACTCATTCCTTGGCCGCTATTCTCATGGAACGGCCACACGATGAAAATGACCAATTTAATCTGCCCTCGTCGAAATATCTACCAAGGAAATAAGATGATTCCTCTTCCAGGAAATTGAATGGCCAAATTTACTGTCTACACCAGGAACAAAGCGGTGAAAATGAATCACCGTGCGGGGTTCCAGGCAGGCGCTGGGTTTGCGTACACGCAACGACGTGCCTTTAGCCTACCGCGTGTAAGTGAGTGACCTCTCCATGCCTCAACTTCCTCACCCCAAATCCATCAACTACCCAACAACAGCTCAAAGTACATTATCTTGAACTCGTAACTAGCGTAACTCATAACTCCTTGAATCATACCTAATAGAGAAGATTGAACCCTCACATTCTCAATTACCCCCATCAAATCCGCCGCCATGCCCGCAGAAGGAGTCTACTTCACCCCTTCTGGCAACAAGACCTTTATCCCCCTCGAAAACAACCCCGACGTCTTCACCTCCCTCATCCACGACCTCGGCATCTCCCCCTCGCTAGGCTTCTTCGACGTCTACAGCCTCGACGACGCCTCCCTCCTCTCCCTCGTGCCCCGCCCCGCGCTCGCCCTCATCTTCATCTCCCCGGCGCCAATGTACTACCAGGTCCGCGCCGCCGACGACACCAGGCTCGCAAAGGAGGACGGCGTCACGTACGCGGGCGCCGGGCCGGACGAGCCAGTCATTTGGTTCCGGCAGACCATTGGCAACGCGTGCGGGTTGTACGCGCTCATTCACGCCGTGGGCAACGGGCCGGCGAGGGAGTTTGTGCGGGAGGGTTCGCTTCTTGATGCGCTGCTGAACGAGGCGGAGCCGTTGACGTGGGAGAAGAGGGCGGATGTGTTGTACCAGAGCGAGGCGCTCGAGGAGGCGCATATGAAGGCTGCGAGGGAGGGGGATACGGTGGCGCCGCCTGCGGAGGAGAAGCCTGGGTATCATTTCATTGCGTTTGTCAAGGGTAAGGACGGGCATTTGTGGGAGTTGGAGGGGGGGTCGGATGGGCCTGTTGATCGGGGGTTATTGGGTGACGGGGAGGATATGTTGAGCGAGGAGGCGCTGGAGAGGGGGGTCAAGAGGTTTATTGGGTTTGCGGACGGGAATTTGGAGTTTAGTATTGTCGCTTTGGCCAAGAGGGAGGAGTGATTGTGGTGTATGACCCTACATCGGCGTCGTTTGCTTGTCTAGGGGATTCTAAGTTGGAGAAGGGGTCAGGATTCGGCGAGTATAGCTCAGCAGGTGCACATTCCTTTTCTGACTGAAATCATGTCAATTAATTGGCTTGATCCACCGCCGAGTCATTAGATAGGTATCAATTAAGTACATTGGACAAGTAGATGAAGCAAAGTCGTCGTGGTCCACATCTTGGTACTGCCCGCCGTCGGTGTGTCCTCACCTTCCTCACCGAAGGCCCTGGTTCGGTGGCAGGTGCACACCGGAGTGAGGGGTGAGGGGTGGCAGGTGGCAGGGCGAGCTGGGCAGACTCAGCCTTGAACCCCTCCATCTGCACGAGCCAGCCAACGGCCCCGCCCGTCCAATCAGCACCCAGCGCCGCTCCAGCGATCGAAAGAGCTAGAAGGGTGAGCTTGGGCTGTTTTCTTTTCCGCCTTGGCTGCCTTTGACTGCCTCACCCCACGACGAGAATCCCACGTTTTCTCTCCCCCAATTCCTCCACCAAAGTCTCCCAGATACCCTTCAAACCATCTACGTTGCGATTGCATTTGAACTCCAGTTTCGAATTTTAAACCCTCATCAGTCACCCGCACATTCCCAAAGACGCCCACATCGTCATGGCTTCCGCAGACGAGCTCAAGGCGCTTGGCAACAAGGCCATTGCCGAGAAGAACTTTGACGAGGCTGTGTAAGTTGTCTCTATTTCCACTCGATGGTCAAGGCACTGACAGAAAATAGCGCTAAGTTCACCGAGGCGATTGAGATCCAGCCCGACAACCACATCCTCTACAGCAACCGCTCCGCAGCCTACGCCTCCAAGAAGGACTGGCAAAACGCCCTGAACGATGCCAAGAAGACCACTGAGATCAAGCCCGACTGGCCCAAGGGCTGGGGACGCCTCGGCACAGCGCAGTATGGTCTGGGCGATCTTCTCGCGGCCAACGATGCCTACGAGGAGGGACTGAAGGTTGACCCCAACAACGCCGGTCTGAAGAAGGATCTCGCTGCCGTCCAGAAGGCGATGAAGTCGGAGGCTGGCGGTGGTACGTGAAGACTCGCAAAAAAGAATAAGTATGGATACTGACTCACTGCAGACGCTGGCGACCCGATGGGTGGCCTTGGCAGCATGTTCAACGATCCCCAACTCGTCCAGAAGCTCGCCGCGAACCCCAAGACGAGCGGATTCCTCGCCGACCCCGCCTTCATGGCCAAGCTCCAACAGATGCAGGCGAACCCCTCGGCCTCGCCGGATCTGTTCAGCGACCCTCGCATGCTGCAGGTTCTTGGTGTCCTGATGGGCGTCGACATGCAAATGGGCATGCCCGACAACATTCCCGAGGACGCAGAGATGCGCGATGCTCCTCCTCCTCCTCCCCAGTCCAAGCCTGCTGCACCCAAGAAGGCCCCTACCCCCGAGCCCGCGCCCGAACCCGAAGAAGAGGACGAGGAGGCTATTGAGAAGAAGAAGGCAAAGGAGGCCGCCGACAAAGAGAAGGCGCTCGGTACCGAGAATTACAAGAAGCGCAACTTTGACGAGGCCATCGCACACTACTCTAAGGCGTGGGAGCTGCACAAGGACATCACCTACCTCAACAACCTGGGTGCCGCGTACTTTGAGAAGGGCGACTATGACAAGGCAATCGAGACTTGTTCAAAGGCCGTCGAGGAGGGCCGCGAGATCTACGCCGACTTCAAGCTCATCGCCAAGAGCTACGCTCGTATCGGTACCGCGTACGAGAAGCAGGGCAATCTTGATCTTGCCATTGAGAACTACAAGAAGTCACTGACCGAGCACCGCACCCCCGACGTGAACGCCAAGCTTCGCGCGGCAGAGCGCAACAAGATCGACTCGGCTCGCCTCGCTTACATCGACCCTGCCAAGGCTGAGGAGGCGCGTGAGGAGGGTAACAAGAAGTTCAAGGAGAGCGACTGGCCGGGCGCCGTTGCTTCTTACACGGAGATGACCAAGCGTGCCCCCGATGACCCCAGAGGATACAGCAACCGCGCGGCGGCCTTTATCAAGCTACTCGAGTTCCCCAGCGCTGTCGAGGACTGCAACACGGCCATCAAGAAGGACCCGACTTTCATCCGCGGCTACATCCGCAAAGCGCAGGCCTTCCATGGCATGCGCGAATACTCCAAGGCGGTGGACGCCTGCAACGAGGCATCCAAAGTCGATCTGGAGAGCCACAAGGGCGCCAACGCGCGTGAGATTGAGCAGACGCAGCAAAAGGCCCTCAACGCCATGTACTCTGCGCGGGAGAACGAGACGGAGGATCAGACGCGGGAGCGGTTGGCCAAGGACCCCGAGGTAAGCATATGCGACCGGCACATTGCCTGGTTCCTCGCATCCGCGACTAGTTTGTTAACTTGTGTCCTAGATAATGAGCATTATGAACGACCCCATTATGCAGTCGATCCTCCAGCAGGCGCAGTCGGATCCCGCTGCTTTGAATGAGCACATGAAGAACCCCGAAATCAGATCCAAGGTGCAGAAGCTTGTAGCGGCGGGAGTTATCCGCGTCGGCCGGTGAGAAATCGGAGTGGCGTTGCGGTAGTGTGGGGACGGGTGCAGAGGAGTCGCAGATGGAGAAGAAGAAAATGGTCATGCGTAATGGTTGGACGAAGAAACGTTAAAAGGAGCTCACTAGGTCATTCGTAGTGGTTGTAATGTGACCCCAACAACAGAGATATTCCACGTGAGTGCCCTTGTATGTCTTGGTGAGCGTGCTGAATGACTTGCGCGGCCGCACACCCCGAAAATGAGATACGGCACTTAGGTACTAAGGTCAGTTGCGAGGCGAGAGCTGTAGGTAGACTTTGCGGTTTTCTAAGACATGCCATGCCGTAAAGAGGTTTTTGATGACTTTGGTAGTAGTGGTGTGCCAGATGAGGCCCGTAAAAATTGGCTCGTGTTAGTGTCAGCCGTTCATGAGAATTGTCATCAGAGGAAACATGAGGTAATGCCTGAGTTCATCTCCTATAGAATTGCACTATTTGATACCTCGAACTCGTGAGTCTGTTGAGAAGAACACTTGTAGGGCCTTGATGTGTTTTTTTTCTTGTTGATACCAACATTTGTTCGTCTCACCAACTACTTTGGTAGGTGTCCCATCTACAGTCATGGACTCACCAATGAAAGAAGGCATGTCTCAAACTCTCCCCCCTCAGTAGTTGTTTGCCACGACTAACACATACTAGCATACATTCAACTCATCGAGGTCATCGCAACAGACGTCTCGGACCCGGCCGTGACAGAGGCCCACGTCCGCCAGCTCATCACCTCCCTCCCCTCCGTCCTCCGCACCCGCGACGACGACGAGCGGACGGTCCTCCACCACGCGGCGCGCCTAGGCCGCAACGCCATCGTCGTCGCGATCCTCGAAGCGAACCCGGAAGCCGACGTCAACGTCCGGGATGTGGATAGGTGTACGCCCTTGCACCTCGCCGCGCGCAACGGGCACGAGGACGTGGTCGGGACGCTGGTGTGCGTACCCGGCGGCGCGGACGTGCGCGCCGAGGAGAGTTTCCTCGAGACGCCGCTTCACGAGGCGAGCCGGAGCGGATACCCTTCCATTGTGCGGCTCCTCATTGACAACGGGGCCGTGGTGGACGCACCGAACCGGGATCTCGGGACGAGTTTGCACATTGCCGCGCGGCGGGGTCACGAGGATGTGATTCGGGTGCTGCTCGACTGCGGCGCGAACCCGGCGACGAGGGACGCGGTGGGCGACACGCCGCTTCACGATGCCGCGCGGGGCGGGCACGAGGGCGTGGTGATGATGTTGTTGGGGACGGGGTCGGTCTCCATCGAGGCGCAGAACGCAAACGATTTCACGCCGCTCAGCGTCGCGGCGCGGCACGGGCGGGAGGCGATTGTGAGGATGTTGGTGGAGCAGGGGGCCGACGTTGACACCATGAGCAACGAGTACTGTACGCCGCTCCACCAGGCGGCGTCCGAGGGCCACGACGGGGTGGTGAGGATCCTCATCGCTGCCGGGGCGGACGTGGATTTGCAGGACAAGGACGACCAGACGCCGTTGCATGCCGGGGTCATGTTTGAGCACGAGGCCGTCGTCGCGTCGTTGCTGGCGGCGGACGCGGACGTGGATGTGCGGGACACGGAGGACTGTACGCCGCTGCACCACGCCGTGAAGAATGAGAATAAGACAATGGTGCGGGACTTGTTGGAGGCCGGGGCGGATCCGACGGTGATTTCGACAATGGGGGAGACGCCGCAGAGTCTGGCCAAGTTGTTGAACCGGAACTCGATTGCCGACTTGTTTAATTCGCCGCAGGTTGTGCCGAAGCAGAATGTGCTGGTTGATTCCGGCGGTGGCGGCAGGAGGCGGAAGAAGACGAGGCCGCCGTCCAAGCCGAATCAGGAGGCGGAGATTGAGGCGTGTAGGCATTTCAAGGGGTTGTTTTGGTGTCCTATGTCCGAGTGCAGTTTTGAGAGTTTGAGTGTATGGGATTTGTTGTATGATCCCGAGACGGAGGTCAAGTTGAGCCCGAGGCCACCCCCGCCACCCCCGCCGCCGCTGCCGCTGCCGCTGCCGATGCCGTCTCCGCAGTCGGCCGGGACGGCGGAGACGTCAGCACGGAGTCCCGTCGGGTCGCCGACGAGGACCCCCGCGCGATCGAGGGCGCATTCCACAGCGCAGAGTCCCGCGGGGAGTCCGACGCTGTCTCCCCTCCCGACGCCGTCTCATTCGCCACCCCATTCCCCTCGTGTTCAACCGCCGGGCAGCCCCGGGGGATTAAGCATGAAGGAGATGCGGAAGCACGTCAGCCAGCAGCGCCGCAAGAGCTCGCATACGACCGCTGCTGCTGGTGGTGCTGCTGGGCGCAACAACAACAACAACCACCGGGACGAGCAGAGGCCCGTCAAGCGGTGGTTCCATCTGCCTGCGAACAACGTGGCGTGGGTGATGGACCTGGTGCAGCGCATCTGTGCGGTGGATGGCCGGACGGATGCCGAGTGTAATCGGATTATTGCGTTTATTGAGGAGACGTTTCAAGAGATTCGGATTAATGCCCCGTATCGGAAGCCGCATTTCAAGATGGAGGCTGCTACTGCGGCGGCCGGGGTGGCTGCTGCTGCGGATGGAAGAGGTGGTGGTGGTGGTGGTAGTGGTGATGGTGGCGATGGGAATATCATGCCCGAGGTCAGTCTCGGACCGCCGGTGACGGGAGGGCTGCCGTGGACACCGCCGTCCGGACCGGGCTCAACACCAGCTGCAGCTGCTGCCGTAGCACCGCCTAGATCGCAAATGTTCTCGCTAGTCCTTCCCGTCATCGACGTCGACATTGACGAGGGCACAAAGAGGAGTCTTCAGGACGTGCAGATCGGGGACGAGGCCAAGGTATTTCGTCCGATGGAAATGGTTGGCGGTGGCGGCGCGGCAGCGGCAGCGGCAGCGGCAGCATCAGCAGGCAAAGGCAACGAGAGGAGAGGACCACCCGCGCCGCAGAGACCGCACCCCCTCAGCGCGATGCCGACGAACCTGCAGCACTACCTGTTCCCTCACCTGGCGCACTTTGACGCCATGGCCAAGATGCGCGCGACGTTTACAAAGTCGGAGCTGCACGTGCCGCGGTCGCTGGATCAGTCGTACCACGAGAGCCTGAGCGCGAGCGACCTGGCGTTGCGGAACGAGAGTCAGGTGTTGTTTCGGTATCTTCGTCGTGTGGAGGGGCGGTTGGCTGGTGCTGCTGCTGCTGCTGCGGCAGCGGGGGCGGCGGCGGCGTCGTCGTCTGGGACAACAGGGACAACGACGGCAGGTTCGACGGCAGGGTCGACTGCTAGAGACGGTGATACGATTGCGGATGATGTGTTGGGGAAGCAACCTCTCACGGAGGACGGGATCGCGTCGACGAGGGTGCAGAAGACACAGCAACAGCAACAGCTACAACAGCAGCAGCAGCAGCAGCAGCAGAGCCCTTTTGATCGGCACGCGCAGCGGGCGTATTCGCGGCAGAGCAGCTCGAAGCAGAAGAAGACGGACGGGACCAAGGCAGAGCTGGGGCGGATGGCAGGACGGCAGGATCAGGCGAGCAGCGTGCAGGCCAGGATCTCGAGGGAGAAGAGGCGGATGGACACGGAGAGGCGGAAGCAGATTCTGGTTGTTGCGCAGCTTTGGGTTTGGAGAATTGACGAGCGTGAGTTTTTGCCCCTGTTTGCCCCTGTTATTGTATTCTTTTCCCCATATAGTGAGAGGGGAAAGACGAGGAAAGAAAAGAGAAAAAGAGCAGAAGGGGAACGAGGATAGAAAGGATTCTTGATAGACGAGAGCTGACATGACATTCGCTTGTAGACACCATCATCAGCGCGTTCCCTGATCGGTGGGATAACAAGAACGCCAAGACGCTGTTGAACCAGATCAAGCACCGCGTGCTTGGTACGAGGGACATGCGGTCCGAGAACACGGACATGATGCGCGTTGTGGAGAGTATCCTCGAGAGCGCCGTGGGATACAGCGAGGAGGAGTTTCACTTTCAGTTTGAGGGGCCGAGGAGCTATTGCAACATCTTTGCGGCCTCTATTGCCCATGTGGTAAGTGCTCTAACATTCCCCCCTATATCCAACGATGCTCTACGAGCGTATGAGCTTCGAGGAAAGAGGGGAGTTTCGTTTCCATGGTTGGGAATAAAGCTGACACCAGGAATCACAAAACACAGTCCAACGAAGCGATGAAGCGCTATGCCAACTTCAAGGCCTCTATCAGCAAAATGGGCACGTCCAAGACGGTGCTCGACGACCTGCGCGCCGAAATTGAGCTCCTTCAGGAGATTGACGACGTGCGCGAGGAGATTAACATGATTAAGCGGGTGCTTAGGTCGCAGGAGCGGGTGTATGACGGGTTCCGCGAGGCGGAGGCGGCTCGGGTTGGCAGTATATGTGGTGACGATGGTGGAGGGGAGAAGCAAGGCGCCGTCAAGCCGTATAAGCACCCGACATTAGACTTTTTCAAGAGGTTGGAGGAGGATGCGAATCGGGTTCGGGATTCAGTGAGTATCTGCCTTTCTGGAAGGTCTGAAGACTCAGGGGGTCATCGGATGTGTATGCTAACGTTGTGGGAAGATTACGACGTTGTTGGATTTGAGGCAGAGGGAAGCCAATATCGAGGAGGCGCTGTCTGCGAGCGAGCAGTCCAAGATTCTGTTCATCTTTACCGGGGCAACCGTTGTATTTGTGAGTCGCATCTTGTGTCCACTCATTTTCCACAAAGCTAATATTCGTAGGCCCCTTTATCTTGGGCAACCGGTACGCAGTCCTTCGAGGCCGCTTCTTTTGAGGAAGTAAGAAAGAGACTAACTGTTGGAAACAGGCATTTTCGATATCTCTATCGAGGGCTTGCCATCGCCAATCAGCGCCGGCACCCTCATCCTCGCATGTGGTTAGTTCCCGCCAACGCGGCCCCCCCTCTTGCAACCGAAAATCCGACTGACACAAACCCCCCCCTCCCACAGTCCTAAGTCTGGTCGCAACCCTCCTCCTCATTGCCCTCTCCTTACAGATCTACGAGTTCATCACGCAAGGCAAAGCAAAGCAGCTCTACAGGCGAGTATCGGGCTTCTTCGAGGCCCGCAAGATGGAGAAGCTGGCGGCCGCGAGCCACAGCAAGTCGCCCCCTTCGTCGCTGGGCGCCTCGACGCAGCTGAGCCGGCTGCGGAGGTCCTCTCTCTCGCAACCTGTCGCTAGCACGACGGCCAACGAGAAGAAGAAGATGCTGAGCGTGAGGAGGCGGCTTGCTGCGCTGAGGCCGAGGAGGAGGAGGGAGAGAGATGAGGAGAAGGAGGTTGCTGGGAAGCAGCTTTGAGGTTTGTTTGAGGGAGGGGATTCGGTCTGGCTTGTTGCCTTTTTCTGGCAGCCGCTGTTGGATTCGTATTGGCATCCTGGTTTGAAGAAATGGGTTTCTCGTTGTTATATTGGTGGTTTGAGCATGCTGTGCATCTGTCAATCTTGAATAATGCGCCGCTGGACCGGAGGAGGCCCATGAGCCGTATATGCAACATACTTCATGGGGTCACGAAGATTGATTTCATCTCTGGGTGGCACCCGTAGCTATTGCCTCCGCTTCACTCTTCTCCTTGCGAGCGAGGTCATCAACGGACCTTGCTGTAACAGCACTCAACTTTCTTACAAAACTAAGTAGGGTTCTGCGCACAATATATCAAAAATACACGCCTGTTTCATCCTTCTGAGGCCCTCTTCTCCTTTCCGCTGTCGTGATAGCTTGCGCCAAGTTTCGGCTAGCTTGTCAACTCTCAAACGACAATGAAGCCCCTATACGGTGCCGGCTTCAGATTTGACGGATACTCCCGATCGCCCGTCCCTGATGTATACGGCACTCTCGGTCAAACATGGAGAGCCAATTGAGTTGCTCAATTACTAAGAAGTTGTAAACCCTGGACATCATGCTCGACTGCTGAGCCGGGACGAACTGAAACCAAACGAAGCGTGCGGTCCAGTCCAGGAGCAGGGATAAATCAATCCCGTAGCTAGATTGATGCCTATTCTTCGGTGTAATTGGCTTGGTCGAAGCGTTGCCAGCTCGGCCGAGTTGTTCTGAAGTCGTCATTCCGAAGTCCAGATGGTGTCATTTGATGGTACTCAAACTTCTCGGTCTGCTCGGTGTGTTCTTTGTGTCTGCGAGTATCAATGAAATACTAGGCAACCCCGTTATCAAACACTCACGTCTGTTAATGACTTTAATAGGTACTTGGAGGGAAGCAGACTTGATTCCGAGGTGATTGGCTGGTGTATTGACAAGTCTCATAACCTCGCGGTGACTTTTTAGCCAGAGACTAGATGACGTTTTGTTTCACCTGCGCGAAAATCATAGATATCAGGTCATCGGAACAGAACACACACGATCCATGGTGTCTATAAATCATAAGCCGCCCTCAGGTGCGACCAGGTGCTACATATCAGCATTTACTCCTCTCCGCGGTTGTACTGTGGTGCTGATACCCAAGAGTGCAAGGGTACTACTACCTAAGTACTTACTTATTTACGTGACGACAATCTCCACCTTCGTGTGTAGGCTACTGCAGTCAGCACATCATTCGTCATCAGAAAACAGGCGCAGCACATTGACGCGTCGTTACAGTTGGTATGCACAGTATGTTGAACAGCCTCTTACCGATGATTTTTGATCCATCATATCCGATGAAGAAGAAAGTGGGAAACTTATCAGCTTTGGAGGTCAGACCGGACTTTTACGAAAACTCCGGTCCACGCTACCGTTGAACCTAGTTGCATACGGATAGGTCGACACTAAGACGCTAGATTACCGCTTCCGGCTTACATTTCGGGGCGTCGATCCCTCCCACCTGCACAGCCCTACGGCACAGGGTTCGGACTTTTGCCAGTCGTCTGAAAACTCCGGTCGCTGACTTTAACATCCCACCAGGACATGGCAAACAACCCCCCCCCCCAAACCACTAGCCTGCTGAGCCTTGACGAGACGCGAATGCCCGACTCTTTCTTTCAACGGAAATAACTTGCCGTTGTTAAATAAGCTTTCAAAGCTGTCTCCATCGTTTTCCCCCGTACACAATCACAATCGGGGAGAATAGCATCGTGCCGGCGGAGAAGATACCAAATATCCGCTTCGTGCGAGGCAGGTGTTTCTCTTGGGAAGTTGACAAAGGCCGATCGGCTCCTATTCCCGTTGTTTCTCGTTCAGGAAAAAGAACATGTCTGCCGCTTCCTCTCCCTCTCGGTCGACGAAGAGTCCTTCGCCGGAGCAGTCTCGCGTTCCCTCCGTAGCCAGATGGGGCGCCGCCTGCGCGCCGTGTGCGACGGCAAAAGCAAAGTGTATTCGGTCGGATACCACGTCAGGGTCAAAGTGTGATAGGTACGCTCGAAAACACTCTAGTCTTTATGCACTTTTATTTCTTGCCCCCTTCACTGTCGGCTGGCGTAGGGGCCGGGGATTCCTCAATATCTCCGGGCCCGGCGACATGGACGTGTTTTTTTTTGCGGGAATGGTGTACCTTGGGGTGTGGTGGCTCCGTTACAACCCGGCATACCTTTGAAGTTGTAGTAACTGTGAGGGAGAAGAGACTTGCTGCGCGACGCTTGCTTTCATCTGAGACTAACGGTTGTTTCTTCTGCGTAATAGGTGTGAGCGGCTCTTCAAGAAGTGTTCGCTACAGGTACGCAGGCCAAGGAAGAAGAGGCAGAGCAGGCCATCGTAAGTCATAACCCTCCTGCAGCGGATCTGCGATCAGTCAATTTGATGTATACTTGCTGTCCAATGTGATGAACATCACTGAGCCATCAATTAATGAGACTATGGGATCTCGGAGGCCCTGTTTGTCATCCATTTGGCCACATCACTGACGGCAGATGTTGTAGGAAAACAAGCCAGCTTGAAGAGCGCCTCAACCGCCTGGTAAACACTCTCCGAGTATCAGGAAATGTGTCCGCCCTCCCGACCGGCCCGTCCACCGGCCAGCCAGGCCCATCAAGACAATCGTATCCAATCTCGGGCCCGGCCTTCTCGCTGCTCTCTGGACAACCAACACCGGATTTCTACACGCAGAGCCGAGTCTCCCCCTGGGACGTCGAAGACCTCGCGGATGCCAGACCCATCAACATCCCCGAGACTTACAACTCCTTCGTGCCCCCGACATGCATATGCAAGCCCGAACCGGGGGAAGCTCCACCGCCCCCCGACACCGACGAGAACCTCCTCAAAATCTACCGCACGAAGTTGGCGCCGTGCTTCCCCTTTGTGCTAGTCCCCGATGATGTCTCCGCCACTATCCTTGGCGCGACTAGGCCTTTCCTGATGGCTGCTATCCGCATGGTCTCCTCGTACCGGAGCATGAAATCGATGCGCGGACAGATGTATCGTCTTCTGAACCACGTTGCCGACCACATGCTCTTGCGATCGGAGAGGTCCTTTGACTTGCTGCTTGGGTTGGTCGTCATGCTGGGCTGGTTTCATCAGCACTGCATCGCTCATGCTCAGCTCAACCAGCTCGTCTCGCTGGCCACTTGCCTTGTTGGAGAGCTGGGGCTGAAGAGAAGCCCATGTCTCCCGGAACGGACTAGGTTGTTAGTCATGCGTCCTCGGGAGTTGCGGGAACGCACAAACGAGGAGCGAAGATTGTTGTTGGCGGTATGGTATCTAAGCTCGTGGTATGTGCTCTGTCTTTTAGAGGAAAGGACGAAAAATACCTAATGTTCTATTTCCAGCATCTCGATGGATATTCACCAGATCGACTCCATGAGATATTCAGGGTACATGCAGCAATGTTTGCGAGAACTTGAAGAGGACGCGGAGTTTGAGTCAGACATCCATCTCGGATACATTGTTCGCATCCAGAGACTCTGCGAGAGGATCTCTGACCTAAGGTCAAAAGACTACCTAGACGAAGAAGGGGACGAGAGCACCCGAGCACCTCTTTCAGCCTACGTCTCTGGTTTCAGAGCTGAGCTCAACAAACTCCAGGCCAGCATGCCTCCTAGCTTGAAAAACAACGGTCAGTCTCGCGCGCAAGTAATCACGAGTTGGAATCACAAACTGACGCGGCATAGCTTACCTTCAAGTAAGGATGGCCACCCTACGTCTACGCATCCACGAGCCCCCCAGAATCGACGCCGAGTTGCTCGCCTCTCTTTCCAAATCACTCGACTCGATCAGCGCCGGATCGACATCGGCCCTAGACGCCTTTTACCAATCTAACGCAGCCCTCAAGGCGTGGTTCGACACCTGGCTCTCCGTCCCAAAAGACTTCTTCTACTGCATCCCCATCTCGATCGCATCTCACATGGTCTACGCCATTATGATGATGAGCCGATGGTCCTGGCTGACAACGACAGGTCACCCCCCGCCGGAGCCGCGGACGGAGCCCGAACCCGTCGATCCGTCAGACGGTAATCCCAACGCCGCCCTGGCGGCTATGGAAGCCGCCATCAGCCCCAACACGCCCGCGTCGACGTCGAGCCCGTCGACCGGGGGCACAAAGGCCTCTTCGCCGTGGCAGACGACGTTGCCAGACAAGGACCTGCCTCAGGTGCTAGCGGCGCTCAAGGCACAACTCTCCACGCAGCCTGACCTGATGCTCGACGTGGAGGGGTACCTGAACCGGACCATTGCGCAGCTGCACTCCATTGACGCAGCCTATTCTGAGATGTCGGTCGACGAGGGCGAGTGGCGCGGCAACATTTGGAGCCTGGGCGCGACAAAGGTGAAGATTGCGATGCTGAGACAGCAGAGGTGGTCCAAGATTATTGCCGCACAGGCGGAGGAGCGGGAGCTGGAAGTACAGAGCGGAAGAGGAGGAGGAGGAGGAGGAGGAGGAGAGCAGTTTGGGATGGGCGAGATTGAGATGCAGGAGAACTTTCTCGCGTCGTTGCAGATGCCCGAGTGGGATGCCAGCATGGTTTGGAACCCGCCGACGTATTTTGACACCTTGTCTGAGGACCAGGCGCTCTGGACGGATATAATTCCAGGGGAGCAGGACTGGGGGTTGGGTGGAATGGGAGGGATGGGTTCGCTTGGACAGATGCCAGAGAGTAGGTATATGTAGGGGTAGTCTTGATTTCAAATACCTAGTTGTTCAAGTTCACTCTGGTATTTCAGTAGGAGGTCAGACTAGAAGATCAGAAAATCCTTAAAGCATCTATGGTAGTCGATGCAGACTCATGAGATGAACAGATCCTGTCGAACACACGGCAAGATTGTCGATCTGGGGCTGCGGAGTCTGCTCCATACATATACCTCAAAATTTAGACTTTTGGCAACCGGCGTTGTGGCAGAGTGGTCTAATGCGCAAGACTAGAAATCTTGTTCCTTCGGGAGCGTCTGTTCGAATCAGGCCAACGTCGAATTTTTGCTTTTCGTTCAATTTCTACCAGCCTCGAAAAGCCGCGTCCAATTTCTAACAATGCCGTTTTCTCTATATTTGTTGGCCATGACGCATTGTGTCTCCATGCAACGAGGAAAGCCCATGGATTGAATATCTGCTATCTACGAAACCCTTTGTCGGTCTCATCTCACTTCTGTACTATTTCATGAGTTGCTCTCTGAACTTGCTCCATTGCCTTGATATTCCTGTTCTACCTTCTTGGTGAATGACTGGAAGGTGAGTTGGCTTTAGTTAGATTGTTGGTTTAGCCCAGTCGCGAAGGTGTACCGCAGGGTGTGCCTGCGACATTCCACATATAGTAAACTTCCGGGACGTTACTTTAAGTTGCGGAAAGTGACAGATCATACAACTTCTGGAGGCTGTGATATACCATAAACCAACTTCAACACCATACCTCCCATCTACATGCACCAGTCGACGGGTATTACACAATGGAGAATTCAACACGCGATCTACTTGATGAGAACACGCCTACTTCTCTAATCAAAAGTCTCGTTACAATTCTCACTACCGTTGAGCGGAGCGAGACATAAAATCCACAAGGCGTGGATAAGACGGCATTCGGGTTCACGGTCACCATTACAACACAGCTCTCGTACAAACACCAACGGTGAATATAGTCTACTGAATACATGCTCAAACGTCTACCGCGTAGCGCCGCCACCCTGCCAGCTCTTCGCCAACAAGCCGCCGCCGCCGCCCTTCTTCTTCCCCTCCTCCTCCATCTTCAAAACCAACTCCCCAAACAACCCGTTCGCCCACCCGAACCACGCCCTCGTCCAGTCCTTCTCGTCCCAGCTGTTGACGCCCTCGTGCAAAACGCCCGTGCCGTCCGTCGAATCCAGCACCATGCGCAACTGCTCCTCGACGTCCTTCTCCACGTCCTTGATCCCGGAGATGGGATCGTACGCCGTCATGGCCGCGATGACGGCCGCCATGGGCCACGCTTTACCGGGTCCGACGTGGGGGCCGCCGACGGCGGAGATGGCTGGGCCCTTCATGTAGTACGAGTTGGCGTCGCTGAGGACGTACTTGCGCGTGTTGCGGTAGACCTCTGCGTAGTCGTGCCGCTTTTCGCCCTTGGGGGGGTCCGGGTACTTGAAGTTGGAGTGCGTAAAGTTCCAGAGCGGCATCGCCAGGAGAGACGGCACGTTGGCGTCGTCCATCAGGTTCGCGCCGCCGTACCCGTCCACCTCATACGCAAAGATATCGCCGAACCCGGGCCGGTGCACGATGGCGTCCTTCTCGATGCCCTGCCGGATCCCAAACGCCTGCGCGCGCATCTCGACTGTTAGCTTTTTGGCCTTCTCGCCGTCGAGCTTGGCCATGATCTCGGAGGCGGACTCGAGGTACTTTGCCCACATCATGTTGGCCGGCACCAGGAACTGGAAGATACAGGCGTCGTCCGAGGGGCGGAATGCCGTGCGGATCATGCCGTTCTCCTTGATCGGGTTGCCCAGTCCGTCGTTGGTCAGCGTCTCGCTGCCGCGGTTCGTCCAGCCCGTGAACGTCCACGCCGACTTTTCCACTTTGCCCTCGGGCGAGTACGTGCCCAGGCGCATCGCGCCCGCGGCGTTGACGGCGGCTTCGACGGCGTCGACCCAGTGGTACTTGTTAAAGTGCTGCCAGTCGCCCGTCTTGTCCGCGTATGAGACGGACATTTTCAAAAACGAGGCCAGCGAGTCGAGCTCCCACTTGCAGTCAAAGACCTTTACCGGGTCGTACGCCGGCATGGGGTGGTTGTGCACGTACGCGCCGTTGTGCGTCGGCGGGATGCCGCTCTCGGGCGGCGGCTGGAAGCTGTGGCAGTACGGCGAGATGATGATGTAGCGCGCGTGCGCGTTGATGAGGCCGCGCCACAGGCTCGCGAGAGAGTTTGCGTCCCTCGAGGCCTCGAGGAGCGGGAGGTACGGGCTGATCTGCTCGGCGCTGTCCCGCAGCCAGAGGGCGTCAATGTCGCCCGTGATGACGTACGTGAGCTCCTGGTCCGTCACTTTGGATTCGCCCGTCGCCTCGTCCGTCTCGTTGGCGTACCCCCGCCACTTGACCATGCTGTCGAGCGTCATGGGGTACGCGTTCTCGAATAGGCGGTACAGGTCCGGGTCCTTGATGACGCCCTTCATGCGGGTGATGAGGTTGTCCATGGCGGGGAGGCGGAACGTGCGACATTCCGGTAGGGGCCGGTTGAGCGGGAACTTGCGTTTGCCCTCGGACGGCGGGCCGGGCCGCTTGCGCATCCAGCTCTCAAAAGATTCACAATCCGCTGCTGGTATCGGTATCGGTGCCGACGCGGGATCATCATTGGGTTTTGAATCCCCGGGTCTACCGGCGTCCAGGGGCGGCTGCTTGGCCAGCTCCTCGTCCTTGTTGCGGTACGAGTCCTGGCCTTCCTCGGCGTCGGCCTTGAGCTTGTCGGCGGCGGCATCGGGCTCACCAAATGCGACCGGTAGTTGCTTGTCCTTATCCTGATTTCCGACCGTCTGCTTGCCGGCATCACCACCGGCGCCAGAGGCTTTCCCGCTGCCCGTGGCTGCATACCGCGCGGAGTCCAGGTAGCTACCACCGCCCGCGAGACCAGAGTTGTTGAGGAAGAGCACAAAGATGATGAGAAGAAGGGCGATGAATACGACGCGGGCGCGACGTGTCTGTATGCCGCCGCTCAGGACGGTGAAGGCTGGCATGGCGGTTGAGTCTCTGGCGTCCACTCTTTGGGCGCGTCGTCCGTTCCAATGAGTGTGAACGGGCGTTCCCGCGACTTCGATGCCCGATAGTCGTGTCACTCTCCCTTCCAAACCTGACTTTTGCGTTGAAGTGAGCAATTACTCGAGTTCATCCAGCCCAAGACCAACGATTTAAAATCATTCAGTTCAACTAGACATTGCGCTTTGTTTCGAAAGGGCGCAGAACTCAAAGAGAATTACTTGACGTGGTTGGGCTTCAGGCGACTGTGTCGATTCCTCCCCAGAAGGTAAAATAGTAAGGGGCCACCTTCGCTCGGCATCCCACTATATTTGGATCCCATGGCGCCCGTCTTGGTTGGTTCCAAGCAATTTCGGGTGCCCGTGTTGGAGGATGATCCTTGACTAGTTCGGTCTCTACTCTGAACAAACTTCTTGTGGGGGGGTTGCTTGTTTGATTGTTTAAAACTGGCTCCACCCGTAAGGGTAAAGGGCGCTGTAGGGGGTTGTCTCAGTCATTCAGAGGAGGGGACATAGTAAGGGACCACAGAGATGGGACCTCAGGAAGGCGACGAGACTTGAATGAAAGGGCTTCTGCCATCTAAACGGATAATTTTTCTGCATTCATCCTGCTGACCGGATTGGACGCCGCCGTGAAGTATGGCGTTCATCCTAGTTGAGCCTGGTTCAACCACTTTGCTTCATCTGAACGCGTGAATTAATGACTGATCCAATCACGGACAGCTGCCTCCGAACCGTGAACGAACCACGCGACCCTCGGGCGGCATCGCACTATCGAATGGTTGCAGCGTGTGTGTGGCTGACCACCACGCGAACAGTGGCTTCATGCAAAAACATACAAAAGAGTACACTAGTGATGTGTCGACGTTGGCCTGATTCGAACAGACGCTCCCGAAGGAACAAGATTTCTAGTCTTGCGCATTAGACCACTCTGCCACAACGCCGAATTGTCGTGAATCCGCAATGAAGCGGGGATGCTGGTCTCCGGGCTTCGCTCCTCCTACAGCTCGCAACAGCCTCCCTCAGTCTTTCATGAGTTTGAGATCACTATGCTGACAGGCAGGAATCATTAAGCTGGCAAGACGCGAATCCAGCCTAGGTTACCGTGGGATTCACACCCAGCTCAATGCGTTTGCCCATCCCTGAAACCTCGCGATTCATTGACGCAAACCTTGACGCAAACCTTGATAACTGGGACTGCTCGCCGCGGAAACACCCTTGAGACGAGAAGCTAGACAATGTGCACATCTCGCCCAACGAAAAGTCACAACTTGTATAACCTCGCCTCCGTCCCATCCTCTGCCGCCCTCCTCACAATACCCCGGTTCTTCACCCCGTAGTACATCCTCAGCGCCGCACACCCGACCACAACCACGAAAAGCAGCGCCGCGTTGGCCCAGTGGCCCGTCGGGTACCCTCGGGCCTTCTCCTCGGCTTTGTAGACCCATACGCCCGGGATCTGCCCGAGCCCGGCGCCGATGCTAACGTTGAGCGCGATGGCCAGCCCCGTCGCCGCCGTGCTGAAGATGTTGGACGTCAGCCACCCCAGCAGCGGCGGAATGCAGGCAAAGGCGCCCGAGGCGCCGACGATGAGGCACCCGTAGCGCGCGTTGTAGGCGTCGGGCGGGAGGACGGCCGAGACGGCGAAGGCGATCCCGCCGATGAGGGCTAGGGCTGCCGAGTGGATGCCCCGGGCGTTGAAGTGGTCTGCGGACCATGCTACAAGGATTTGGACGACTGCTTGAGACGTTAGCTTTCCGAACAGCACATAGTAGTGTCAAGGGTTGGATCTGGACGTACCGTAGGCTGCAGCGTATGGGGGAACCGTCATTAGCTGTGCTTGCAGATCGACGAACCCGAGACCCGAGGTGATGGACGGTGTGAATAGAGACAGTGATGAAAAAGGCGTCGACATGGCAAAATACACCAGATAGTGCCCATACAATCTCCAGTCCGTCAACGTCGCCTTGGCCTCTTCCCAAGACATGGTTTTGTGGCTGCTCTTGCTGCCCTCGTGGTAGAGCCGCCGCACCGCGAGGTCCTTTTCCCGCTCCGAGAGCCACCCGGCGCTCTCGGGGTAGTCGGGCAAGAAGAACCACACGAAGAAGGCGGACAGACACGAGGGGATGCCCTCGAGAATGAACAGCCACCTCCAACCCGACATTCCATGCACCTGGTTCATGTGCCCGATGCCGTACGCAATCGCCCCGCCAAAGGCGCCCGCCAACGTCGCGCTCGCGAGAACCATGGCGACCCTCACGCTCCTCTCGTCGTGCTTGTACCAAAAGGTCAGGTAGTACACCAGTCCCGGGAACAGCCCCGCCTCGAAGACACCCAGGAGGAACCGCACGCCCGTCACCGCCGCGAAGCTATTCGCCCCGCCGAGGCCGATAGTGACGGAGCCCCAGGAGAACATGAGGAACGCCAGCCAGCGCGAGGGCCGCAGCTTCTTGAGGAGGATGTTGGAGGGGACCTCGAAGATTGCGTAGGCGATGAGGAAGATCATGAGGGCGATGGTGAAGTCGCGGTTGGACATACGGGTCTCGGTCTGCATGTCGTGGCCCGTGGAGGAGTTGAGGATCTTTGCGTTACCAATATTGGAGCGGTCGAGGAAGCAGAGGAAGTAGATGCTCGCCGAGAGCGGGATGATACGCTTATCTTGCTTCCAGAGGAGGGCTTTTTCTTCTTCGGCGTCGGCTGGGGTGGGGGAGGACGGTGAGGTTTCCTATGATGATTTGATTAGTCCCAGTGAGACATCGTGATAAATGCTTTGCGAGAGGGTTCACATCTTTCACGACGGGCGACTCGACATCCTCTCGGCCTGGTGCGAATGTGCCCTTTGCCTCAAACTCTGAAGCCATACTGGATGTTGAGAATGATATGCTGCTCAGGATACTAGACGCATGCACCGCCAGGGTTGAATGTGAATGCAGACACCCTTTTTGACCATAGAGGTGTCGCTACAAGTATCTTCCGACCGCCGCAACAGAAAAGGATCAGATATTTCTCGCTTCCACCACATGGAACGAAATAACCAGCAACCTCACTCGCCTTTTCATCGGCCGAGAGCGTCCCCTCCCGGTTGTGCCGCATCCCCGCACCCGCGGGGGAAGCGTCTCCTCACCACTGCAACCCGAAAATCTCACCAAGCCTGCATGTGCTGTCGTGCCGCCCCAGCGTCGCTATCTGGTGGAGCTGGTGTCGGTGATTTCGCGAATCAAGGGCTCATTATTGGAGTCTTGGAGAGTTGTGATCGGCTGTGCTTAATGCCGTCATGCAGGTTTAGCCAAATAGGTCACAAATGGTGACCGAAGACCGGAGGAGGAGCATTCGAACAAGATGTATTGGAATTGCGATCTGCAAAGCCAGCGCACGATATTCAAGACAGTTTGAATAGGTCACAGAACATACGTGAGACATCTTGTGTGCTTGATATCCCGTTGTAAGGTTTGCGGCAGCCTCTTATTTTCCGCAGCGCCGTTCGTGCCATGAGCATCATTTGAACGCAATGCCAAATCGTTGGTTAATATGTTGCTCTGATCCGTATTTAGGCCAACCCATCATAGCAATGTAATTTACAGGGATGTTGAAGAGTCGTCTCTCGAATTTCGTACCTTAGTTTTCTTGGAAGACAAAAGAATATAACCTCATCGTCAATATCCCTCGCCAATTGGTCAAACGCAACTTCAAAGCTCTGCAAAGGCACACAATATGGAACCAATAGTAATTTGAGTGTCCTCTGGGATCGTCTCTGAAACCCGATGACTTTTTGTTACGTTGTCCCTGCTGAGCATGGTTTCTGCTAGCCCTCTGGAAATGTATGCAAAAACAAACAGACGCTTTCAGTTACTTAGGCAAGCCCGCTACACAAGTGGTCTTCTAGTATGGGCTTGTCGGTTATTTCTAGAAATGAAAGCCGTTCAGCCGCACTTTGGCCAACTCACTTTCCTCCAGCTTAGCGCTAGACTTTGAGCTCCAAGGATGAAGCAACTTCCCATATCTCCACCAATTCGATGCCCCATTCCATGTAGATGGTCGTTCACAATAGCTGAAGGCCATGGTCTCGAACCAATCTACCGAACTCGAAAGTCAACCCGATCTAGCTTAGTGGTGTTTGAGAAAGCGCTTCTTCGCAAACGGGTAAACACGTGGCTTCAGCCGACTCTGATTTGGACTGATTTGATAGGCTTCAAAACGATTCAGGTGTGGGTTTATCTCCGAGAAATCCGTTCGCGGAGTGTTGCGTTCCTGGATACCTTCAGCTGATAGTCGAGCTGGATCGTTTGGTCTCAGACATTTTGCCTTTTCCGGCGCTTTTAGGATAATTCTGGAGAAATCGACCATGATACGAGTCCATTTCACATGCCAACATCCGGAATACAATTCAATTTCAGCCCTAAGTGATTATAATAATTATGAGCTGACCACTTTATCCTTGATATACCTGGCGGCACCTTCACCCCCTTCGTTCATGGTTCGCTCCACAAAGATTTATGTTAGAAAAGCCTACCATTATCTTTAAACAGGACGTGCCATACCACAAGCACATCCAAAACGCCAGCATGTCGACAGAAAGCCCCGAATATGTTGAATGCGCCCACGTCAGCGTTCCACAAGATGACAACTTCACGGACAGGAAAAGGCTGGTGATATGTTGCGACGGCACATGGAACAACTCGTAAGTCTGGCAATGGCGATACTCGGTTCTGCCCGCATGCGATATCATACTTTTGTACTGAGATATTTCCCTTAAGCAACAACGGCGGAGTACCTACCAACGTCAGCCGCCTCTCTGCTGCAGTTGCACACAAATGCTGTACTGGCATGGCTCAAGTAGTGTACTATCACCGCGGTCCCGGAACGGAAGAGGACAAGTGGGCCAGCATTATGGGAGGCCTGCTCGGCCTAGGTGTCACCCAGGTAGGCGATAATGGCAGACGGCGGAGGGTCATGACACACAACAAAAATAATTTCGAGACTAATCAATACCAGGACATTGTAGATTGCTACCGGTTCATCTGCGATAACTACAACCCCGGCGACGAGATCATCATCGTCGGCTTCTCGCGAGGCGCCTTCACAGCCCGCTCGATCGCATCCATGGTCTGCGCGCTTGGATTCCTCAACCGCTCCGGTCTCAATAACCTTGGCCTGATCTACCAGGATTACAAGGCCTTCAATCAGTGGACGGACAGTCGCATGTACAACCCAAAGGAACATCTCCTTGGTTTCAACGAGGACCAGCTGAAGATGAAACTCGAAAAGGAATACATGGAGGAAATCGAAGCAGTCGAAGATGAGTTGTGCGAAGCCGACGACTTGTCCGAGGACAAGGTATGGGAGCTTGACAACAAGTTGAATGCCCTCCTCGAAGAATACGAAGAAGCTTTGAATCACAAGAACCTGGAGCAACGGCTGGAAAAAGACAAGAAGGAGCTGTTTGAGAAGATGACTCAAATGAAACGGGCAGATGGTAGCATGAAGTTTCGCCTGATGGCAGAGGCTTATCGCCAGCAACTCAGCGAGGTAAATGTTGCATTACTAATTTCTTAAAATCCATGGCTGACCTCTTAGTATCAATTATGCCTGACTCGTCGAAAGCAAATCGGTGAGAAGGTCTGGCATGAAGCTGTGGAGGGTAAGGTGAACGCAGTCGGTCAGTCTATCTCCCACGCAAGGTGTTCACTCCAGCGCGAGTCTGTGGCAACTAATTACTCCACCCGTTCAGGTGTATGGGAAACAGTAGGAAGTCTTGGGATTCCCAAGGTGCCGTGGGGTTTCTGGCAAGGCAGCCGAAGTGCTGAGGAGGTAAGATTCATCCTTGGAGGAAGCCTCAAACTTCTGGTATTATCCGAGTAGTACAAACACTTACGGCTCTCTTGCTTGCCAGCTCCGGTTTGCAAGCTACAACATTCACCCCAACATCGATCACGCGTTCCATGCTCTTGCCCTCGACGAATTCAGAACCCCTTTCTCTCCCACGCTGTGGAGACGCAAAAGCTCAAATACGCATACTCAGCTTCGTCAGGTCTGGTTCCCCGGATGCCACAGCAACGTCGGAGGAGGTTCTGATTCACAGCAAATTTCAAAGATTGCCCTAGCATGTACGTTCAACCCCCCCCGGTGTTGATGCGTTGGGTGTTCCACTCGTCTGGACTTTTCTTGCAACCCCTCAGTATGCCCGGACTGACCTGATATTGGTAGGGATGGCGGATCAGTTGACCTCTGTCGGCGTGGAATTCAGCAACTGCGAGATGAAGCGCATCCTCAGCACAATCTCCCACGGAGACGAGATCCGCCCATGGGGCCTCGGTAAGATCTTCAGTCCGACAAGTCTGTTGACGACAGGCCCCGACCTCGCTTGGAACACGATTAAAGCGCCCTATCTCGCATACCACGGGCAGTTTGCGGAAAGTTCGGCACGAACACCCGCTTGCTACACAGACGACAACGGGGAAAAGCTTCTAACCAATACTGAGGAGCTGGTTCATCCTTGCGTCAGGGTCCGGTATCTGTATCATGGTCTCGGACTAGATGACAAGTCTGAGTGGCGCTGCAATGCCCTGTCGGGGCATGGTTGGAATCTCAGCGTCGATAAAGTAAAAACACCAATCAAGGTTCGGCAAGGCCGGGACCCGAGGATCGTGGACAAGTATAAAACCGTCGCCGGCTCCGTCACCGCCGTCCATCAACAGTATCCGAAAACTCAAGCCGTGGGGGGCAAGCTCGTGAAGACGGAGCAGCCATCGGAATCCGACCTCAAGCAATTGAAGACCCCGAAGAACACTTGGACCTGGACGCATCCGAACGGCAAAGTGCTCGGGGAAGAGCAAATCGGCATGTGGGAACGCATGTACATCGATATCAACGACGACCTTGTCAGGTTGAAGGCCAAGAGCGAACACGTAAAGATGCAACGACGGACGCCGGGAGACCGCCTCAGAGACTTGGCGACGAGCAAGGTGTACAACGCCCTGGGCACGGCGGAGTGGGTTGTCCAGACCTCCATCGGCGCGTTCGTTGGCGCGCCGCCGGCCAAGAAGTACCCGATCGGGTACCCGATGAAGCATGGGTATCATGATTTTGTGTCCTGGCAGAAAGGACTGAAAGACGGCCCTCCAGAGGTTGACACATCGGCTGCGACGGACTTCCATTCGGCTAAGGATGATCAAGTCCATGTCCACTACCACTGGATGAACGACGGCACACAATGAGAGATCTCATTTTGTTCCCCAGATTGAACTAGGCATGGGATTTTCGGAAGGGTTTTTCCATTTGTCTGCTATGGATATCTGTTAGATGGCGATAGTACTTGATTCTTGAGTTCTGCAGTCTTTCTGGCCGGTGGCGTAATTAGTGGAAGTTCAAGAGGCAGCATGTTCTTCCAAAAAGAAGCAATCAGGTTAACTTCACAGAAGATAAAAGTGCTTGCCTGAAACAGAGACTTGCCTCAAATGATAAGACGGGTTCAGCTCCAGTCTACAGCAGCGTGAGGGTTGAACTAGGATTCAAGTATTCTGGGAGCCCATCACACCGTCGGGTGTGTTTGGACACAAACAGTATGTCCTCATTGAGATATCCAATTATCTCAATACCTGCATATAACTAGCAAATCAATTTCACAAACAGCGACTGGCAGAAAGTCATTATAATCTGGGCAAAAGACCCCGGCAACACCGGGCAGCCCTCACAGTTCCTCCTCTCCCAACAAGCAGGCTACGACCGCAAGAAATGGGGCGACATTCCCAACGCCTTTTCTACAATTGAAGCAACCCTCCCACGCAGCGGTGAGAACGGACGGAAAAACCTGGACCATCCCAAAGTATACGTCGCGTGGTCGAAGCAAGCCGTTTACCACGACAAAAATACGGGTTGGAACGAGGTCTTGTCCCAGCTTACGAACAATGCCTCTCGGTCCCAGGATTGGTGGCATTACCACACGAGTAGTAAATCCCATCCTCCCGAGTTCTATCTGTATAAAATGTATTCTAAGTTGGGTGTGCAATGACTGATGAGTACGCAGGCACTTATATCCGCGCAGACCGTTCAACCGAGATTGGGAGGCAGATGGCTGGGATGAATTGGGGATCGGCTCTAGGTCATCCGGCAAGTGTACACGATGGTTTATGTTCTACGTGAATTGCCAGACTAAAGTCTGCGTTTGATCTGGAACGCCGTGCCTAGACTCTAGTCAGTTTGGCTACCGGGACAAGAGACCATCTATGGTTGCTTTGGCGTTTGATGGCAATACGCCTCTTTCTTGACCTTGGCGGCTTATCCTCGAACACATACAAGTCACTGGATGGACAATCGAGGTATCTCCGAAACATGATGGACACGATGCCTACGGTTGTGAACAACCTTGTTCGCAGTCCTTAAAACAACTAACTTTGAGCGCAATTGTATCTCCGAAATGTCCTCAAACAACAGTTATATAAGTGTTTTCACCACCAGTACTGCACATTGTTCTTGGAAATTGAACAATATGTTTCAAGCACCTCGGGGAGATTCCATCGGTCCTTCAAATTCAAAGTCATATACTCGCCATTAGCAGTGAAAACATCGACAAGAGGCCACTATACACCACCCTTTGTGAGTGAAGAAGAGCTTCACACGTGCGGCATAACATCGAACATGGCTGCTTCACTAATCATGCCTACGCCTACTCCAGCATTGAAGCAAATGCTCGGAGCACTTACAAGAAACGAAGCGGAAAATCGACCAGAGCATGCACTCCAACAGCCTAATCCCAGTCAACACCAACACGCCAGTACACCAACACACTCCCCAACAGTATCTCCCAAGGAGATCATACGGGAGATCAAGGGCATCAAAACCCGCTTCGGAAATGGAGCCTCGGTCCTCAAAACCTCCCCGGCGCCCGCATCCTCCACCATTGCAGTAGTATGCGCCAAGGGCGATGACAACGCGTTCCCGCGCTTTCTCGACTGCCTCCGCCGGATGCACTATAACCACTGGGCAGACACGGCACGCGTCCAGTTCCACAACAACAGACTAGCAAGGATCGCCTACATAACTGTTGACGATCCAAACTTTGCCAAGATCTTCGATAGTCCCGCCGGTGGCGAATGTCAAGGTGAAAGCAGGCGTGAGATCACGTCTCCTTCTCCAAGGGAGCCCCGCGTCGTCAGGGAGCAGCAGAATCTCAGGAGCTCCCTTTTGGAATCTCACTGCCAAAAGGCCTCCAAGTTCGTGATCTTAGGGTGGGAAAACGCGACGAGGGCGGTGATGATTGAGTTTGATCATCACATGGTGGCAAAGAACATGGCCTGCATCTTCTCCCAGGGGAAATACAAAATCTTGGGCGTACGGATATCCCTATTGAGTGTTGACGGCTCGATCGTCCACTTGAAGGGAGTCCCAGCCTCCGCTACGGTGTCGGACATCATAGCGAGCATACGAGGAACAGCGAGACCCAGCAAGATCCGTCTGGGACCGAGCTCCTATACCCAGAACACCAACTCGCACATCAGAGAGATGGACGACATACTCCGAGAGTATGGGCCGCTCGAGTCGCCGCTGACCATCTGCCCATTTGATGGCACGCCGGGAACGATACGGGCGACTGCAAGCTTTGTCCACGAGGCCGACGCAGCCAGGGCCGTCGCGGAGTGCGACGAAATGAGGCTGCCCTTCTGGCTCAGCGGGCGACTCACAATATTTCCGCTCTATAGGGTGTATCTCGATGTCCTCCAATCTGTGTACGACAAGAACCCCGTGCACCAATGGTTCGATTCGGCGACAACCAGGGTAGAAGGCATGACGTTGGTAAACTACCCCGAAATCGGAACCAGTAGAATTATGCTCCAGTCGTCGAATCCTCAAAGACTGGTCTTCGGCACCCAGCAAGTCGAGGACGTCTACAAGGACCAGACTCTTCGACGGCCACCGACCGCTTCGTTTCCAATCAACTTGCCCCGAAAGCACTCCCACCAGACCGAGCCCACATCGGCATGTCACATCTGCCTGAATATCCCGTTGCTGACCGTGACCGCGTATTGCGGCCACGTCTTTTGTCCAGATTGTTTCACCTCGTTCGCCATGTCAGCGGTCGAGTCGAGAAACGCCCAGGACACCAAGACCCGATGCTTCGGAGGCGAAGACGCCGCGTGCACCCACGTCTTCAGCCTCCAAGAGCTCAAAGACAACCTCACCATGACCAACTTTGAAAAGGTCCTCGAGCTCGCACTCGTCACCCACGCCGCCCGGAATCCAGCCACCTTCAAAGCCTGCCCAGGCCCAGACTGCGACCGCATCCACGTAAAGCCACCCGTCGCCGCCGCTCCTCCCAAACGCACCTACCGGGACGCCTTAATGTTGACGACGAGAACGACCAGGCTCACGTGCAGCAGCTGCGACTTCAACTTCTGCGGCGAGTGTTACACCGCCCACGGCGAGCACCTCTCCTGCAGCGAGGCCGAGGCCGAGAGGGCCTGGGAACTCCAGGCGGCGGGCCTCGGCATCAAGCGCTGCGGGTATTGTACGGCGCCCATTGAAAAGAGCGACGGGTGCCAGCACGTCATCTGTCGGTGCGGGAGGCACATCTGCTGGGTTTGCATGGAGGATTTCCAAGGCGTGGATGAATGCTATGATCATCTTCAAGCTGCCCACGGGGGTATCTTTGCGGGTTTGGATGAATATGAAGATGAATCGGAAGAGTATGACACCATGGATGAGGAGTAGGTGAAAAGAGCACGTAGCAAGTGTGCATAAGAAATAAGAAGAGCGTGTAAGGAGATCGAATGGAGGAGCTCGATCACCGAGCTCAGATTAGTCTTGAATGAGACTGTTGATACCTGGCGTGTCGGCCGAGTGGCATTTTGTATTTGTTTAGGTAGAAGAGCTTGTTAAGTGACGCTTTGGAAAGGCGTCGTTTGGGGCATACATCTCTACGACGAGTTACTGTTCAAGGCCAAAATAATCCACTCAATTAGTTAGCCGACCACTGTCCATCTTTTGCATGAGTGAAAGCCCCGTGATGGTCCACCTCGAGAGATACATTTCCTCCATCAAATCAATAAAATCAACCACTTGAAGCTTCCCATGCATCGTTGTCTCGGATAAATGCCTCTCGGAGTCGCTGAAAGGCCTTCATGCCTTCTCCGTGAATGAGCGGCATGTTGATGTCAAAGATACCGAGTTGACAGTACGCAACGTCTTCGATTCGGACTTAAATGCGATCAAGGGAATCGGAGGCGCACAATTAGGCTGTTCCAAAATGGGCATGTCAGCGCCGCATTCCTGCATAAATTTTCGATATATCGCATCAGAGGCAACATCAGGACGGTACCTCATCGTCACAAACCTGATCATGGCAAATTAATCTCAGTAGACGGATGGATCCAACATAAGATGCGCGTATCAAAAGTTTTTTCAGAACGACAATCGTGTTGTGTGTATATCAAAGACACAACGTAAAGGAATTGTGTCATTCTTCACTGAACGTCGCAAGAAAGTTGAACAAACAACGACGACCCACAGGGCACGAAAAGCTGACATAATCAACAGCTCCCCAGCTCCCTACAGCTCCTCCCCCTCTCAAGCCTCACCCAAAAAGGGGTTCGCAAAGCGGCCCAAGCTCCCAACTCCCGCACCAGCCGCAGCCCTACGAGCTTAAGCGGGCAAAAAGGAAAAGAGCCCAGGGGCACAAAGAAAGACGCCCTGACCGCAAAGCGTCCCCGACTTCCATCACCCCGCCTGCCCGCCAGTCGCTCCCTGGTCCGAGCACTCTCTCCCCAACCCAAAAAGGGAAAAGAAGAAGAAGAAGAAACGGGGAGGGAACCAAAGAAAAAAAAAACCCCCCAAAGGGAAAGAAGCCCCCCCGCGGCGGTGACGGACCCAATGACATCAACACGAGACCTCGGAAATCTCATTTGGAAGGGGGGATGGATGCTGACCAGTGTCACGAGCGAGCCCGGCGTTGAAACAGTACTGCATTCCTCCCAGCATACTTGACCCCTTTCTCCTACTTTTTCCTCCGTATGCTCTTTCGTTTATGTTGAACTTTTGTCCAATAAAGCAAAGAATAAAGAGGGTCCCGTCTGCCCACCCAAAATTCTCCAGATCTCTCACATCGACACCCAAGATTCAGGGGTCGTGTCTCCATTTACATCCGCGCGCATCTCACATCTCGCATCCGGCATCCAAACACCGCCAACATCCACCATTCCCTGAACCAACCAACAAATTCGCAACATTAAATTCACACAACACTCACCAACAACCATTTGCTCCCCTCCATCCCAGCCAAAAAAGAGAATGCCCTCTCAAATCCCAAAAACATACCACATCCTCTTCACCCTCCTCGACCCCCTCATAGCCCTCTGGGGAACCTCCATCTTCCTCCTCTCCCCATCAACAGCAACATCCTCCTACCTCCCCTCCCTCGAACCCCCTACATACGACCCCTCAAAATCCCATCCAGCATCCTACACCTCCTCCACATCACCCTTCCACCCAACCCCCAATACACCCGCCGCAACAGCCCTCCAATCCTACTCCCTGCCCCTCCACGCCCAAATAGCAGGCCACCTCCTCTCAAACGCCCTCCTCTCCGCCCTCCTCCTCCGCGCAACCCACGACCTCAAAATCTGGCGCATCTACCAGCTCGCCCTCCTCATCGTCGACGCCTCCCTCCTCTACGGCACCTTTGCCTCCTACGCCCTCCAAGGCAGGCTGGCGAACCCCTTGTCGACATGGCGCCTAGAGGATTGGGGAGCCTTGAGCATCACGCTTCTGGCCGGGCTTACTAGGGCTGCGTTCCTTTTCGGGGTGGGGTTCCCGGCCAAGGAGAGGACGGTCAAGAACAAGGCCGGCTGATCAGGCTCATGATACATGATTCGGCCATTGCATAATTATGGTGGGCTAGTACGGAACATAGCACGGAATGCTTCAATGTAGCAAAATGAATAGGGTATCATCATATCCAGTCTATCCTCAGTCCATACCCGCCATAGTCGTCTGAGAATCCAGAAATGATGCCCTGTAGTGTCGTCTGCGTCTCGTGACGAGCTTTGCCTCCCTAAACTGGGCTTATTCTATGGTTCAAACAATTCCACGCCAGCCACATCATACAAAAAGTTTTCTCTCATCAAAACATCATATTCCCCCAACCTTCATCTCCATCATCTGAGTCCAAACGCGCCCTTTTCAACAATGAATCGGACAGGCTGCCTCGCCCTCCTCCGGAAGCTCAAGGGCCTTGCACCCCGCCCGCCATGGTTCGTAGTAGTCGGCGACGGGCTGGGCAACGGCAACGGCACGTGTCCAGGTGATAAGCCGTTCCCGCCACGCTCGTCGAAACCCCACCGCATGACCCCTCCGCTTCGGATCCAGTTCTCCAAATTCCTACATTGACTGACGTCCACCCATTGAAGTCGACTGCATCCTTCGAGAAGGTTCTCGACACCGCCGCCAGTGACTCTAACGCAGCCGCGGACCGAGATTCCCTCCAATTCGTTCAAGTGCAAAGCAACCGATTGCAAGCTAGCATCTGAGACGGCACTGCCGCAAAACGAGAGGCGGAGTTCGCGGAGCTGAGGTAAACCCAGTGCGACGACCTCTGTTGCGGTGTCGGACAGAGCGCAGCAAAAGGACAAATCCAGGTGCGTCAGATTCTTGGCCGCACCGACGAGGGCGACAACGGCGTTATCAGAAAGGTAAGTGCAGTCAGCCAGACACAGATGAGACAGGTTCAAGAACCGGTAGGGAGCCCATGACTGGAAGCCGGCGTCCGTGATTGATGTACACCGCGTGAGGGACAACGACTGCAGCCGATTGGAGGCATGTCCGGCGAGGTGTGCCATAGACCTGTCAGTGATGTGCTTGCAGTACGACAGGTTGAGGTGCTTGAGGGCAGGACACCCAATTATGGTTCCCGGCTTGGGGATGTTGGCGGCTCTCTGCTGGGTCTGTTGTGTTGCGGCTTTTTGAGGCTTGGACTTGGCGGATGAGCTGGATATCACCACCTGCTTGCTAGGCGGCTGTGGTGGTGGCGGCTCAGGGACTACCCATCCTACGACACGTGCTAGCAGGTTGTCGCCAACCTTGCGACAGTTGCTCCAGTCAATCTCCTCCAGGCCCTTTGCGTTCTCTGCCATGTCCAGTATCTGATTTGCAGAGACGTCCCAAACAGACCGCATGCGCCATCGCTTGACATTGCGGCCACAGCTCTCCCAAAGACAGCGGAAACCATCGTCGGTAATGTGGAAGCAGTTGCTAATGTCGATTGTTTCCGGGCGGGTGCCGACGAAGGGACCAATAACCATTTTGATGGCCTGATCTGTAACTCTCCTATTATGCTCGGATAAGTCTAGATCCAGACAAACCTTGGGGTCTGTTGTTAGAAGCCTGCGCCAGTGTGAAGAAATGATTCGTGCGCGCATAAGCTCTGCAATATTCAGGTACCGAAACACCGCCACGAGCAAATCGTCGGGAAGGGCTGGGGTCTGTGCTGGATGTGGACGACGTGGCAGCGTCCGGGCTCGCTTGAAAGGTACGTCCGACTCGGGTGGCGACTGTGGCGGAAACGAGAAGCGAAGGGGCGTCGATTCGATGTGGTGAAGGCGGAAGCCGTTCGTCACTATCGGCGAGGAATTGTCAGATTGAGGGGTGGGCGGTGCCAGGGAGTTGCGTCGCCTATTTCGCATATTCTCCATGTCTACGCTCAAGAAAGGATCCGGGTCCTTGGGCTCCATTGTCTCCATGTCGTCTTTGGCAGGTGAAGCCGGTTTCGAGGGTGTCGTGAACGTGACATGCGGCAGAGCCTTCGGTGTGGTTGGTGTCGGAGGATCCGACTTGCTCCGCTCCATGGGTTCCGCATCTGACATTTCGACATCTTCGTCCGACTTTTTATACCTCTTGCGTGCCGTCTCCTCCACCTGTGACCTGATATCGGGCGGGCATCGACTCCACAGCGTGTCCAACGCGTCTCCTGGGATCATCAGACATTCGACCGTAGTGATCGCCCGCACCGTCGCCGTCCGGCCTTCTGACAATCCAAGACTGGCTACTTCTCCAAAGTATTGACCAGCTTTCAATCTTGGACGCACATAAGTCGCGCGAGCCATCTTCTTTGGTGGCTCCTTTGGTGTTGGTGCTTCATGGACAACCTCTGCTTCACCTCGAACAATGAAAAATATCTCATTGCCTGCCGATCCTTGTTGGATGATGTCGGTGAAAGGAGGGTACGTCTTTGGCTGGACGCTCAATCCGAGCTGATGGAGGATGTCTGGAGGTAACGTGGAGAACAATGGCAGCTCCCGTAGCGTTTGGCGCACGTTGACGAAACCACTCCCGAGGGCACTACCCGCAGCAGGGTCTTCGATGGCCCCGGGACTTGGCGATTTCCGCTTCTTTGAGTTGACCACTGTTCCCTCTCTGATGGTACCCACCTCACCTGTAGATACCTCTCCTGGCGCCGGTTCTCTTGCTCCATTGGCCTGTGTCGAGGGCGGCTTGATCAGTTGCCCACCTTCCTGGCGCTTCTTCTTGAGAATGTTTAATCGCTCTTGAGCTTCATGGCGAATCGCCCTCTCCATGTCCGGGAACTTTGGCAACTCTGCCTGAAGGTCTTCCTTCTTAAGGACCACAAGGAGGCATTTCGTTCTGGCAACAATGGTCGCAGTTCGCGGGACATCCATCAACACACCAATCTCTCCGAAAAAGGCACCGGGCTTGAGTTCCGCATAGATGGCTTCGCCGTCTCTAGAGGTGACAGCCACAACTCCGCGCACCAGCCAATACATTGCTCTGGCATCATCGCCCTCTGTGAGGATATGGTCTTGTGCTGCATGAACTTGCGGTCTCAAATGGTTTCCGATGGCGGCCAAGAACTCCTCTGGCGCAGACACGAAAAGGGGAAAGGATCTGATGCGATCAACCAGGTCAAGTGGCATGTCGCGTATAGTGGAGGCGGTGAGAGGAGACGGCCGCATGGGCCGCGTAGGGTTCGTGTCAACGTTGAAGGACCTGAGGAGTGAGAGGGAATCTGGCACCCCGCCCGCGCCCGCGCCAGTGTGGGCGAGGGCGCGGTAGGGCGATGGTGATGTCGGGGAGCGATTCCGCCTCATGGTCCTTGAGGGATGCCGCGTGCGTGGTCGTGTCGACGCCAGGTTTTCGGCGCGCCTTGCCGGCTAAGCTCTCTGCCCAGTGGGAGGGCAGAGGGCCAAAGCTTCCACAGGGCTTTGCCAATGCACACCCGAGCTGTAGCCTGTGCTCCGCAGGGCAGCCGGAGGAGGAGACTCCTCTCCCTGCCTGTATACCGTAGCTTCCTCCGATGCTAAATCTTGGCGTTCCCAGTCGGTAGTGTAGATAGCAGACGGGCCGGGTGCATGCTCCGGGATGACGAATTATAGCCTAAGTTTGGGTTTGTTGGAGAAAAGTGTCGGCTGCGGCAAGCAATTATCAGCGATAGCGTTGTGATCGGAGACCTGCTGGTGTTTCGCACCGTATAATTTTCGATGCTGGTATTTCCTTTTGGCAATGCGGGTGTGAAAGGCAGCCGTTGGTTGGCTTCAAGGCGGGGTCCTCGGAAGAGCTTTGAAAGTGGGAGGGTCGGCGGAGGTTGTCAACGCCGAGTGTCGCAGATCGTATCACACAACGCCGCCGTTGAAAACGCTGTCTTTGGTCGCTTCTAGAACGACAATTCGCCGGTAGGAAGGAAGTAGTGATGAGTGAAGCGGTGTCACCATATGGCTGCGCGAAGACAGCAACGGAGAAGTTGTCGTGTGCTTGGCACCGGGTGCGGTGGGAGCTTGTTTGGGGTAGCGGGTCTGCTGTAGAAGTCATGTCAGAGACACTGTCACTATTGCTGCTGGTGATTCCAGAACTGGCAGCAGGCGGGGGAGGGGAGCACTCACTGAATCCAGGCGTGCAGACAGAACGACAATTGTGGCAGATGGCCGTATGCCTCTCGATTGGGGATATGTGACTCTTGTCGCGGCCGTGGGATTCGGCTGGTCGCAAGAAGCGGGCAGGCAGAGGCGAAGAGGATGAGTGCGAGGGCGGTGGGAAACGAAGGTGCCGGGGTGGGTTTCGCAGCGGCGGGATCGGAGGCGACAGACAGATGTAGGGCGGGTGGGCGAGGGCGGGTGATTCGCAGTCGCAGTGTTGCAGATCTGGGCGATTGGAGCTTGCGATGGAGAAATCTCCAGCAAAGAGGAGGATGCTGCAGGAAAGGGTAAGCGGGAGGGGAGGAAGAGGGACAGCGACGGACGAAAAGAGAAGCGGTCGTGGGTTTGGGAAGGGAAGAACCGAGCTGGGGCGACGGGACGGGTGCGAGGATTCAAGGAAGGGACGTGTGAGCCGGTACGTAAGGAAGGTACCTGCCTTTTGGCGGAGGCGGCGTGGGCTTGTGTGGGCGTGGGCGTCGCACTGAAGTGGGCAGGTGGGCGGGTGGGCTTGGGCGTGGGCGCGGGCGCGGGTGTGGATGGCACAGCGGACATACGTACCTGTGGAAACGTGGGACGTGGGGAAGGAGCAAGACTCGTTGCGTGCTTCCCTTTTTCTTCTTTCTTGCTCAACTGCCATTTACTTACCTGAGGCACCATGAGGTAGGTATGTACATCTACCTCTTCTGCTGTTCATGTGTCCGTACACCACCCAAGATACTGCCTATGTGTATATCATTATACAAAAGAGAGGACGGCAAGGAAGATGGGGATAGAAGAAATATGAGGGTAGCTACCTCCGTTTTTCGTCACTAAACCAGAGTGCCAGAACCAAGGACTATTAGCCAGTGCCAACGACTGTGCACATGTGCGGATGCGCAGATGCGGGAGCAGGTGCAGATGCGCCGCAACGATCTGGCAGAGAGAGTTCCAGAAGACCACACGACACCTCGCCTTCGTCGTCCCTTCAACAGGACCTCTCCTCGAACACTCCGCGAAGGAGCCCAGGCCCTGCACTCTTCATTCACCCAAATCAAGACCGACAAGACAGAGGTGTACCAACAGTGGAGAGGAGACCTCCCAGCGTCAGTCATGGCCATGGCAGTCCAGGTCCCACCGATCCCAACCGTCACCACCAACTTCTTCTTCAGACACCCGACACTGCGCAGCCCTCCATCGCCAGCACTACCAGCCAGCTCTCGCACAATGACGCTCGGAGGGTGGGGCTTCCTACCCCAAGCTTGTACTTAGCAGGTACCGAACTACTGCACACGGACGCTTCGGGGGCTGTCTCAGGGGTACTCAGCATGTCACTGGAAGGGTGACGAGACATGGCCGCAACCTGGTCCCAAAGCTTAAACTGTATGCGCCCTAGGAGAGCGTTGACGGCGTCGGCGTCGGCGGCGGTAGTCTGGAGGCACGATGCTGGGCTCTGTCACGGCAAAGAAGTATAGAGAGTCTAGCAGCGGAGCAATCCTTAAGTCGTCATATTCGACTTTGTCGCCAAAGTCAACTGGAGATTACTGACACGAGTAGCGGGAGCTGACTGTGTGTGCCTCATGCCTGAACCTGCCCCAACCGTCTTGTGTTCCCTCCGCCGGGGCAAAACCAAGCTGTTTATCGTGTCGACATACATACGTAGGCATTACCATTTATCTGCGTATCCGTAGGGTACCGTACTTTACCGTTTCCCTCGGCACACTGCAAAGACCTGGTTACCTCGTCAGTGGAGGAGAGGTAAAGCTAAAAGGATAGGGAGATTGGACATGCGACTGACAAGCTGCAGCTTTCGCGACCTCCGCCTGCGGTGCCCTGTCTTGCCCTAGCCACAGGAAACAAACAGACGAGAAGAACATGCAGAACAAAAGCTTGCCCCCTAATTACGCTCGTCCGCCTACAACCACCATTTGGCTGACACCTTGGGGAGTTCTCTGATGATGTCAGCAAAGGGTAGACATTTGAGAGATACAAGATGCCCGACTATTAGCACCACATCGCAAGCCGTGCCAAAACACCTCTAGGCTCTTGGAGAAAGAAAGGAGGTCGAGAGCGAGGCGGGCCCGTGCTGGAATGGCTGCAAGTTGGCTTGGGCCGGCAGGCAGCGTCAGCATCGGCCGCGAGACATGAGGCTAGCTAGGGCTGGTCCCGATGGCGATAGCAATATGCTACCTGCCTGAATCTGTGCACTACTCCGGTCACCAGTGTGACATTGAGCATTCGAATAGAGTAGCGTAGCGTGCGCGACGGACGCACGCACCTTGCTTAGCCACCTTGGGCACGAAGCCAGGGCAGCCGCTCAATGGTCTTGGTTTTCTTCAGAAGGGGCGTCGTTAGATCGGCCGGAAGAGTGTAGGGAAAATCAAAATTCTGACAGAAACCAAACGGTCAGCTGGCGGCCGTGTGTTTCCTTTGTTCTCTCAGGCTTCTGGCGTCGATGGTATGTCGGCTTCCATGCCCTCCTCGGCCGGCCTGGCTTCTTTCGCATTTGCTTTTGCCTCCGCCACAAGCGGCAATAGTATGTAACACCTTAGACTTCACGTCCACATGTTCATCTGCTTCTCAACGCATCCTCGTGCTCCAGACTTTGAGTCCCAGGGCTTTGGATCTGATGCGAGGCGGTCAGAGAGAAATTCTAGAAGCTCACACGGACACAACAGCCCAACCACTCGGTTTGTCAGAGCATGTCGCATCCTTGCTCCAGAAGGGAAACTTAACGAACAAACGGGAACAAGTGCGCTGCTGGCGAGTCGAGAAGAAAGGTTGGCGACGCCTTTCCCATGCCCTATTTCAAATTGAGTTGGTGCATGAGAGAATGAGATGACGACGGCGGCAGCGTTGGCGGCTGCGTGACCAGTTGGTGCTATCCGTAGATGGAGCGAGGCAGAACGAGTCCCATCGACGGGGACTTTTGTCGTGTTGCAGCAGAGACGAAAGATGAAGGCGAGGTGCGTGCAGCGGCTCAGTGCGAAAATGACGAAGAAGAGGGAGAAGAAGGAGAAACAGACGGCCGCCGTTCGTTTCGCAGCAGGTCCATCCTATTCCACTCCCAGCTTGCCAGCATTGTGTGCCCCTCTCCCCTTGGAGTCTTCGACACACTTCTTCTCGTCGCTATACCCAAGTTGGTTCAGCCTAGGACAGAAAGGCGAGTGTGGGTGGACCGCCATCTCACCGCGTGTCTCAAACTTGCAGCCCGGGACCCCTGGCTCTTCGGACCCGAATTGACGCGCACGGTGCATGTAACGGTCCTCGGAGGGAGACGGAGGGGTAGCAGCAGTCCACAGCGGCTGGACGGAGGAGAGGATGCACCCGGTCAACCGTGTTAGTGGTGGTGGCCAGGGCGTCTTCCAATGGAAGGGAAACGATGCGCGGAAGACTCGTGGAAGACGGCTAGAAGCCTGCCAAGGTTGGGTGGGAGGGTCCAGGGGGACGCACTTGGGGAAACTTGTGCTGCCGTCGGACCCAAGCTTCGATCTGGCTGCTTGCGGTATGTACATCGTGTCCAGCATAGCTGTGAGAGTTTGGCGAACCATTCAGCGTCCAATCGAGGCGTGCGGACCGTGACACTGGATGGATTGCTTAGTCCGGCTGGCCAATGTTGCGGAGGGTGACTTCCATGATGTTGGAGAGGCGGAGGGAAGCTCTGAGGTCGGAGGGGAGGAGCCTTTGCTAAGGTACCTACGGATACCTACCTTATCTTGCTGGTCGCCTCACTGTAATACAGCTGTGATGACTAAGCGAGCAACACTTTGTAGAAACAACATCCAACCTGCCTGCCACGAAGGAAGGAAGGTGGCCACCTGGACTGTTGCCTTTGCGCCTGCTCCAATTGCTTTCAACATCGAACTGGAAAGTGCATAGTGAACTAGGTAGGTAGGTTCCTTGGTCAAGGCAGGCACAGAATACCTGGGAAGTATTTTAGGTGCCAGCGAAAAGGAAGCATCCCGCCAGCTCCTCGGAGTGGATCCTCCTTTCCCCCTGTCTTCTTTGTTTCCTCATCCCGCCGCATCTGCCCTCTGTACGTACTGTACCTGCGGCATGCGGCCGGCGGCAGGAGAAACATCTACACATGCACGATTGAGGGAGAGACGATCTGCTTTCTCCATTGCTTTTTATCCTTTTTTATCTTATCCTTTTTCCTTCTCATTTCCTCTCCTCCTCACACGGTCTATCTCTGTCTCGCCTGTTGCTTTCCACTTTGCTGTACGAAGGCGCTTCCTCAGGGTCACTAGCAGATCTTTTCCTCTCCAACGCCGTCGACCAACGCCATGGATGGTCCATGATGCGCAACCACCCATCTTTCACTACCTCATCCGGTTTCCATCTCAGTCACCCTGATCTCCAATCTTGCCAGTGTTTCACGACATCGTTGCTCCAGTATCGGTGTCCGATGCAAGACGTTTTCACAGCTTTCATTCGTCCCGAAGTCCACAGCGTTCTTCGGCTCAACTTTCGGCGCACCCCTTCCACGCGGCGTCAAGGGCCAGACAACAAAGAAGAGGACGAACTCGAACCGCGAGTAATTCACCTCGTGCTGGTTCCCATTCCAATGGTCGTGTCGCTTGCTGATCTCCGGTCCCGCTGACGCACAGAGAGCCTTGACTTAGACTCCTGTGGCCTGAAACGCGTGCCTCCCCATACCATCTTACGAGAAGAACAGCGGCGTCAATCTCCAACATGACAGGTCCAGCCTCGAGCCAGACAACATGGCGCGCATGAACGTCGGGCAAACCTTCTGCTCAGAGACCACGCCTATGCCTACACCACGACTGGCACGACTGGCCACGCTCATCGGCCGGGGTCCGTATTCCGATGGACCTGAACGAGCCCCAACACCTTGGCACACCCGCCATCTTGCATACCACGTGGTTACAGGTGTCACAGTTGCCAAAGAACTCTCCATCATGTCGCACGGTGTTCAGGGCATATCGCCCCAACCCGCTCTTGGTCAGAACGGCTAGGGTCGCGCCGCCTTTCTCCCATCGTATTGTTCTCGTTTCCTGTTACGTGTCAAGCACTATTTATAACTGGGTTCTTCTTGGTTGAGAGGCTCTCAGGACCTCGAGATGCGCTTCCCCGGAAATCAAATAACTAGGTAGCTTCTAACATCCCGTTAGGCGTCAAGACCGTGTGCTGCCCAACACTATAGCAGGAGAGCGCGCTTCGATCAAGGGCCGCTGCAAGTAAAGGCAATGTTGGTGCTTCAGCTGCTTTCTCGACCATGTAAATAGCTTTCAACCTTCACTAGCCTATGCGGTCACATATGCCTTGTCTCTCAAGATCCCATGGTTCGTTCAATGGTCCCTGCTTTGTGGCCCGAGGCCACTACAACAGACAAAAGGGCCTTTCCGGGCTCCTGTGATCGTCTTGAAACGTTACATGGCTTCGGTTCGCCTCTTGAACCAAGCCCAAGGACATGAGGTCAGATCCCTCAATGATCCCCGCAATGCAGCGGATCGCATTCGAGAGCAATTCCACCACCAGCTGGCGGGCCCGGATCTGGTTATCTCGAAAGCAAAGTTTCGTACACCAACGGATTTGGGGCTTGGCACGTTCTGAACACACCGCAGCGGCTCAGCTACTGCCGGAGCAGTCAGGCTACATTTTCACTGGCATGATCGACAAAGTTACAATTACATCGACCTCGGCAACTGAGTACTGAATAGATCAAGCACAGGAGGTCTCTGCCACCAGGTGATCATACTTGATATTAGGTCACTACAGGTGGCTTATTTGTTGGCACATCATTAGAAGCACTGGATGCTAAAGGGCTATGCAGTTTGATTCCTGATTAGAAAAGTAGGCTTGTCTGTCGCCTTTTTTTTTTTGGGAACTAAATAATTTTGAATAGCCCGGGCATCGTGTCGTGTTCGTATCATGACCCACCCATAAGCTGCAGCTGGGCGGTCTAAGTTTCGAGAACCTCATTAAAGTTGGTGTGCGAACCATCTCTATAACGCGATTGCGTGTCGGACAAGCTTTTCTTCATTATGCAAAGCCTGTACCTCCATGGACAGGGTGCCCTGCCGTCGGTCTAGACCTCGAGACGAGGTCAAGTAGCAAAGATTTCGAGCTCAACAACCATGGCATGCGCGCAAGCCACGGTGCGTGTAGTGACTACATGTAGATTTTCAACGCCCGCAATGGGGTCGGTGTTTTCAATACTCAAAACGTTGGCCGTACTACTGCGGCGATGTCATGCGAGTTCAAGCCTGGAAGGTTTTGCGGGGTGCAGAAACGCTGCTAGGCACTGAGGATGGTTGTTTACATCGGCCCGAGGTTTTGTTGTGCGTCTTTGGTCGGGTTGGGCCCGCTACTTATGAGGTCGCCCGTAATCGAGACAGAAGCCGGAGATTATATCGAATAACGTAGGGGGACTCCGTATGACCCAGATGCTGTTACGGTGCAGATGGGCGACCGGGATTCGTGTCCGGAACCGCCCCATGAATGCGAATTTCATCCGGCAGAACACGGAGAAAACATGGATCCTAATATGGGTCCTCGCGGTCTGTAGCTAGGACGCGGCGGGTCCACTCGCCATCCGGGCACCGGAACAGTGGAGAGTCAGTCACCCCTCTTCGGATCGCTTTGTTGAGGCGATGTTTCTTGTCCCCCTACAACCCGCACAAGCCCTGGGTACAGTCGAGGCCTTCCGAGGTATTGCAGCAAATGGATCCGTTGGCGCAGAAGCATGCCCTTCCCAGCTTTGGATCCTGCTCATCTTTTTTGTCGCCAAAGACTTGTTTCCAAGCGGACGCGACAATATTGGACTGGGGCGATGTGTTGCTATTGCTGCTGCTGCCGGATTTCGATGAGATGGCTGCTGATGGTGATGCTGTGGCAGCTGCGACTGCGGGGGCTGTTGAGAGTGATGACGGGGATGCTAGGGGGTGCTGATGTTCCGTGTCGACTGGTGCGGCCCAGGTTGTTGCGGCCAAGATTGCGACGAAGATTGTCGAGAATGCGGCGGAGAGTCTCATGTTTGCGGTGTGGAGAGGGGAATTACAATTGAGGGAAGAAAGAGTGAGTAAAAGAACTAAGGTGGTGCGCGAGTCCCAGCAGAAACGACTACTTGTTTTTTCCGACAGAGAGGACAACAGAATTACACAGTACTGTACTTTCCAGTCTTGGGGATGAAGTCGTGAACCCGGGGGGGTCAAGTCGTACTTTATAAGGCAAATGGTGATTTGGCGCGACTGAGGAATAAGACCGAGGGGATCTTAGTGCGAACGCGGCGGGGGTGGGCGGGATGCTAATTTGACATGGGGAAAAAAAAGAGAGAGAGAGAAAAAAGCCACACCGAAGCTTGAAACTGGCAATAAGTCGGCACAACACAAAGGACGGAGAGAAAAAAAAAAGGCGTTTGGAGCAAACCGACGCAGGTGGCTTTGATTAGAGACACTAGGTCGGGACCGATTTCCCGTACTTGTGGGAGGAAATAGGGACTATTAAGTAACAAGAAGAAATCCAACCGCGATGGGAGTCTACCTTAGACTGCCGCCCCTCCCCTGGCACTCTCGTTCGTCCAAGGATTTCTGGTAATGAAGTCTTGGAGTTTTATTGCTGGCCGCGCACCGAATCAGGAAGTTGGATTGGGATGGAGTGTCGTATTGGACCGCTGGTTGCGTAGTGCGTATTACACTGACCAAGAAATCCCGTCTTTTTAATTCATGCTTGCTTTGCCTACGTAGTACCCGGAGCGAAAGGTGGGGTTGCATGGTCGTCGGGTCGTAGGTGTCCATTGGATAGTAGGGTCGCAGTAATGGAGGAATCAAGACATGGGATTCGGAAGTTCTGGTTTGCGGTGTTTTGGGGGTTGGAGTGAAAACATCCGAAGCAACAGTGGTTTTCAGACACCCACTCAGTGTCCAGCATCCTCATTACGGGGAGAATGAAGGAGAGTAAGAGTATCCATAGGAAGAGAGAGACACGGGACGACACATGGTACCAGCGTGCGCGCCGCCACGGGTTGTCTCCAGAGGAGCTCCCCCCCCCC